CCAATGATAAAGTGTAAGCATCCCCATGCTTCCGCCTCAAATGGCGACGCTCTTTTCCAGCGGCAGACACACAAATTTGACAATCACGTCTGCAAGGAATATGCCCCCTTAGGCAATGGTCACGGAAAGCTCGCTCTTCAGCTGTTAACCTTCGTAACGTTCCTTCTCGTTCTTCCTTTTTTGACACCATAGTTTCCCGTTCAGCATCGCTCTCCTGCAACCATTGTGCCAACCTGTGACGTATTCTTTTTACGAATCCAAATGCCCATCGCGCCCGTATGGAGGATTGTCCAATACGCTCTTCCAGGGTAGAAGCGAATGTTGCTGACCACGGAACAACCACGCGGACCTGTTCCAACGATTCCCATAGTTCCATATCAGACACCAGGAAAGTCGTAGGCTTCACCAGAGCATGTCCCAATGCTCCTTGATCAAAATGTGCAGCGTACATTCCATAACGCTCGCGAAAACTTTTTACCTCTGGCCAACTCCAGAAGGTAGGACTTGAGAACCCTTCCTGAGAACCATCCACCAGATCCTCAGCACTCAAGACTGTTTTGTCGTTCTGAGAAAAATCTTTCCCTATGAGCTCAGGGTCTCCAGGACTTTCCATGCCAAAGAAGACAGAACCTCCATTGATGACACCAGCAGTTCCACACCTTGAATGCACCGCCACGTCATATAGGAAAAGCATCTTCAGAAGTAAAACACCATCCTTTTGAGCTAATTCTTGATGTGGCCAGGGAAGACTCTTTAATCCCATCCGTTCAGGCCCACAGCGCCGGCGTAATACAGGTGGACCACCGTCTTCACCTCTCAACCTTGACACTGTCCTGCATGGAGGTCCTCCAACCACAGCAACCACCTTTCCTTCAGCCGCCAGATGCAGAAGATACTTCCAGACGCTCGAATTATGTAGGTCACCGCCTTTCTTCAAATCCAGCTCCAGTACCTCCACATCCCGACTGGGGAAATGCCATTTTTGTTTTCCCGAAAATAGGTGTACCACCACCCTTTTTGCTCGTGCCAGCCGTCTCCTTTTATGACGGTTGAAAGGCAACGCCGCAATATCTCCACGTGGCAACAGCTCCATCAGCATATTTTCTGGTATATCCCCATAATACCACCGAAGAAATCGCCAACATGCCTGGACGAACTCCTCCTCGTTCGCTGACGCTGTCCGTGCTGCGCTTTGCAACGACGCTTTTACGGCCACTTCATTGTCCGTATTCGGACACCCTTGAACCGTACGTGCCACCTTTAATGCTTGCTTTGGTGAGCACCAATCCATTTCATCAATGATCTGAAGCGCCACCTCCTTTTCCAAACAAGGGCACCCATTCAGATCTCGAACGCGAAGTTCCCCCAGAACAGGATGTGAGGCTGTGCACTTGCCACCACGCCACTGAACTGTGAGACCAACCAAGGCGCTCGCTTTGCCAGTTGGCACTAGAGGATCTACCGTTTCAGGAGTTACCAGGGTCCCACCTGGGGTAATACACATCTCCCGAGATCCAACAGCTAAAGACACCAACACCTTTTGCTGCGGAAGCTGTTCACCAGGACGAAGTGATCTGAGAGGATGTGATGCTCCCGAGTCCAACATGCCCATTCCCGAACACTCATTGGTGTCAGAAACCCTGGCCACATATAAGACGCATCCTCCTCGGCCTTCTCCCTGCTTCGGCAACAACGTGGCATCAGACGAACCGACTCCACAGTCCGCCCTTCCATTCCTCCATTGAGAATGGGACCAAGACGCACGCTGCCTTTCAGCATGCAAAACCATCTTTTCAGCTGTTTTGTAATCCATAATCAAACAGCCATGTTCAAACCACAAGAGCTGGTCCAGCGAAGATTTTGCACCCACGTGACACATCCCATTGATCACGGTGAGGTTCGCCCCAAACTCCAAAATCAACCAGAGAGGGATAATCAGAGGCCCATTGTCTTCCCTAATCAATGTCCCTTTCTCTGTAATCCTCATTATCACACCACCAAGCGCGCTTTGCACCGTAACAGTAGTGTCGGGTAAACATTCCCATGGAAAAAGCGTCCGCACAAGATGCGTAGCAGCCGTGTCCACCAACGCCACTCTCTTTTCCTGCTGAAAAACTCCAGAGCCACATAACATTCGGACACTGGGATCCCCGCTTGATGCTGACTGCGCTGATGACAGTTTCATAGATTTCAGCACCTCTAAAGCTTCAGCAAGGACCTGATTGGGTGTTGATGGTGATGAGGGACTTGCAGAACCTTTCTCCAATCCCGCATTAGCCGTCTCATCTCCCCCTTCAGCCACTTCTGCCTTTTTGGCATTTCCCCATTTCGCACCTTTGCCGCCCTTTCCCCCTTTGGGAGAATTTCCTTTAGATCTATTCCTCTCAGGATTTGAGTCCACATTGGAACTTGCACCATCTTTGTATGGACACTGCGGCTGTAGATGGCCAACGGCCCCACATTCAAAACATCTTCCACGCTCCAGGGAGTCCTTGTCATGGCGAAATTTGCAGCGTGATCCGAACTTGCAGCCTGCTTCTGTCTTTCCATATATCCAACAGAATGGGCGTTCACCATCACTGCTGTACCTTTTTCCTTTCCCTTTGCCTTTGTCGCCCTCCTCTGTCTCGTCACCAGTTCCCTTTGGGGCCTTGTTTAACCTTGCCCTTTTCTTGGCGTCCGAGTCCTGCTTCACCTCTTGATCACCAGCGCTATGCAATAGCAGTTCAAACTCTGCCTGTAACATTTCAGCTAGTTGTGTCGCAGTTTCAGAGGTCGGCGAGTAGTCTACTCCCAATTTTTCCCGAAAGGATGCCACTCTGAAATGAACCGTAGGGTGTTTTGCCAGCAACGCGGATGATAAAGCATCCAATCCCTTGATAAGCAAGGTAGCGTCCGGCTCGGCCGCTCGCAGCTCCCTTAATCGGGAACGCCATTGCGCCCATTGACGCACTCCCTTAATGGCCTCTGGTTGCACCAAGAAGTTCAACATTGTGCTGCGCTCATTTGCTCCACCAGGTTGGTAAACCGTCAGCAATTTGTAAAATATCATCACTGACCCCAACATTCGAGTGGAAACGATCTCGGTCTTCAATCTCTCCGGAATCGCCTGCAGCTGGCTCGATCATTGCGATCCAATCACCTAGTGCCGTCGGATTGCTTGGTGTGTAGTCTGCCAAAGTAGGAAGACTCATCACATGCTTCCCAAGAGCCTCCGGACGTTCAGTTCCAGAACTATCACCAATGTTTGGCATACCACGTGGCACCACTGCTCCAGGAGGTAAACTGACCCTACCGCCGGGCCTATGTGGCAGTCCATGTCCCATACCAGGCGTAAAAGCTGTGAGCGGAACCTTTTCTAATTCCAACTTCCCAGCGGTCATTTTCCACCGATACGGAACATCATCCACCATTGTATATCCACCCGATCCTGCTGCGTTCTCTTGCGTCAAAGTTTCCCGAGCTGAAACAAAACCGGGCTGATTCCCCATAGGTGCGGCAGAACCATCAACACCTGTTGGCAAGGAAGTAATCGGCGCATGTGTCAAACCAGGTGGTCCACCTGCATATCCACCACTTGCAGAACCTCCCAGGGGGTAATTCAGTGGAGGCAATCTGGAGGGTTTCTTCCCTTCAGCTACATGCATCATTGGCACTTCTTTGTCATCCTCCACCTGAGCATCCCCCTTCCTGGGCTCAGGCAAGGGTTGAAGATCACAACCCTTTGGCAGGTCGTAGCCCTCAATAGGCAGCCATGTCCCATCAGGCAACACAGTCCAAAAACCACCCATACCATCAGTGTAGAAAACTTGTCCTGGCGGATACTGTTTCTCTGGAGTCATTCCCAAGGGATATGCAGCATTTGCGTCCACCACTCCAGTGCTCCGTGCTCGCGAAGCTGACCCAGATGCAGCAGAGGTATAGCTTTTCTCCTCCACTCGATGCAACCTGTTCCCCAGCTCCTTTGTCTGCACCAGCAACTCTTTAAGTGCACGCTTTACCACTGCCATATCTTCACCTTGTTCTTCACCACTCAGATCAGGAATAAGCTGTTCCTCTGCTTGTGTTTCACCAATGTTACCTCGTTCCATCTGGCCCATTAAGCCTGACGATGGCCTCTCAGCTGGTGCAGGTTCCCGACCCATAAGATCATGTAGCGACGGTGGCCTCCTCGTAGTTTCACCACTCCTATCCCCTCCGCTTGCAGGAAGACTTGCCGGCCTTGATTGCCTCAGTCTTATTTCTTCTTGAGCCCGCTCGCTCCAGAAAGGATTCGCTGCTGGAACCGGAACCACTTCATTTTCCACCTGAGACGTTGGTTGTATCATTGCAACTTCCCTACCATCTGTCACCGCTTGTACCACTTGCTGTCGTTCTTCACCCCCATCACCACGATTTTCTTCGGCTTCATTGGCCGTGGGTGACAGTCCAGGCTCTGAGCGACGCCGCATCATGTCCATGGCGTTAAACAAACGAAAAATCTTTACCTATACCGCAGGAAGCCTAATTTGGGCTCATAACCTACGGGGGCAACCGAAAGGGGAAGGGAATCAACCCTAACAGTCGCCAGAGGTTTCGCCCTGAACCAACCAGCAAACACCGAAAACTCAGAACTTCTTTTTGCTACCAGGCGCATGGCCCAGTCTTGAGCCAAATAGTAACGGGTACGTTGACCCTTTTTCCTTTAACACCAACTCATTTCCTGAATACAAACTGCAGCTCCGCACCCTAAACCCTAAGCCCTCATATTTTTGGGATGTCTCCCCCTTCTGCTAACAGCCGTTAAGAGGGATTCTAAGAGGGGGGGGTTCGATAATCCCTTTCCCCCCTTTATGCTAGCAGCTCCTTAGGAGGGATCCGAATAGGGAGTTCGAGAATCCCTACTCAGGGCTCTTAGCACAAGGGGGAACATCCCAAGGCTTATACACGGCTGCAGACGTCGCAGGGTAGAGTTGAGTATAAATATGGGGTAAGGAAGTTGGATCCTGGGATTCCCGAAGGTCGGCCTGCGCCTATCTCGAGTGCAGGATTGTGTCCCGCATGGATGCTTCTGACCACTGGGTGGGCTACGCGGAGGTCGTGGGTGGTGATGTCGCAAGTCCCAGTGCTGCTGCGGCAGTGCATCACCGAAAGGTGGGCACCTATTACTGAAGGCACGCATGCCTGCCAAACACCTTCCTCGCAGAGTTGGCGAGGTTGAGGATCCGAGGGCCTTTGAAATTTTTCACCTCCAAGCTTGATCTTTTCAGCAGACTGATTTAGGGACTGCGCCTAGGGCAGATAGTTCAGGTATTTACATGGCCAACAGCGTCGTGGCATTACAGACCAAATACAGACTAGTTTGCGCGATGTTGCAAAACAGCCCCTCTGGTATCCGTTGAACTTTGTGTTCTTGTGTCGAAAAGACTCGGCTGGTGCCTTAGAGGAGGTCTCACAGTTGGCCAATGTGGTCAGCTTGTGTCAGACATATGTACAGCTACCTGCCATCCAGCCGCCCGAAACCCTAAACCCTAAACCTAAACCCTAAACCCTAAACCCTAAACCCTAAACCCTAAACCCTAAACCCTAAACCCGGAATCGTTGCAGCTACAGCCTCTCGCTTCTAGCAGAAGGCGGGTGCCTCCAAAGCGGGGCACCTGGGTGCTAGTCAGCTAGTCCATGTGGCAGGCAAGGGCTGCGGGATGCGGGCTGGAGCCTCCGGGGGTGTAGGGTTTAGGGTTTAGGGTGTTTCGACTCTCACGCTAGCGCACGCGCAGGCAAGGTTTAGGGTTTAGGGTTTAGGGTTTGCAGCTGGGATGTCGAGGCACTTTGCCACTTGCAGGTATTTTCATCACGATGAGTGATCTCAAATGTGCGGTGCCCAGTCCAAGTCACAAAAGTTCGCGAAAGTTTGCGCGGGGGATGGTCCCCTCCCCCTACTCTTAACCCCCCGCTACCCCCCTAGTATGAACGGGTCTTTTAAATATTAGGGGGTAGGGGGGAGGGGGTAGGGGATGATATGAGGGGGAGGGGATTCTTCTCCGAACTCTCCGGGCTTGAGGTACGGACCTGGAGCCTGTCAGCGAGGAAGCCGAGGTTCCCCGCATCCGAGCACTTCCTGAGATGGCGTTTCATCCTAACCCCCTAGTTCCCCCTTATACCAAGAGCTCCTTAGTAGGGATTTGAGTAACTTCCGATAATGATCCCTATTAGGGACTGCTAGTTTTTAGAGGGAACATCAAAACTCACACCCCACAATTCCCACAACGCCAAATGGTGCCTTGCCTACTGGAAGCCCCGAAGAGGGTACCCTTCATCTAAAGGAGCTCTCATGTGGCAAAATGCCCCAAACCTTCAACCCAAAAGGCGCAAATTCAAAACTGAGCCAACATCCGGACATCCCGCGCTCCTCAACAGACCGTGCGGGGCGGTTGGAGCACTGTGTCAGGTTTACCCGAGCTGCGACAGCACCCATGCACCTCCTTCAGGCCCGCAATGTCTGTGCAGTGGCGACGCGAAAATAGATTCAGGCCAGATGGAGGCAGGTAAAGGTATCCCGCAGACGCGTCTACTTCAGATTCCGGACTCTTCAGTATTCAGTAGGAAGGGAACGATGGTGGCCGCATGAATCGGGCAGGAACACTTGATGCAGCTCAGGCTTCAGCCCATGTAATTCTTGCGGGATTCCCCACGGTCCAGCCATCCGTCGTATCTACCGCCTACCTCATTTGTCAAGCCTCCTGACGCAGGGCAGCTTTTCTACTTATTGCCTGCCGCATAGGCCCTTGACCACCATGTTCTGTGAGCTTCGTTATATATGTATATCTGTATATGTAGATGTTCATTTATTTGTTTATTTACTTTCTTGTTTTTTTTTAAGCACGCCCTTGACCACCACATATTCTGTGAGATGACACATACGTGTGGGGCGCAGCACCTCTTATATACGTCGTTGATGCCATGTTGGCCGAGCCTGACTTCGAGACGCACGCAGCGCCACTTGGCAGCGTAGCTACCGAGCCAAGAAGTACACTTGATAGCAGACAATATGCAGGGCGTATCGAGGCCTCATATATTACGGTTCTATATTGTGTACTCCATATCATGAGGCCAGCCTTCAGGGTTGAGAACAATGTTGTTGCCTACGACTGGTGTGGACGTTGCTCGGTTTTAAGTCAACCATTCTCTGTGCTTGGAGGTTCATGGTACTTTTTAAACCAACTACAACTGTACTTGCAACTGTACTTATAACCATATTGGGGCACTTAAGGGGCTTACAAGTAGGATATAAGTACAGTTATGATTGGTTAAAAAGTGCAATGAACCTGCAAGCGTCTTCCATCCCCAAGAGCCCCAAAAAGAATCCCTGCATCGTCCAATCCCGCATAGTATACTGCAATCCTGCGGCGTGTCCTGCCTTTGCCGTCCGGAAGGAGGGTTGCTGCCTCATCGGTTAGCTTCGGGGTGTTGGATCATCGAAGTAGATAGTTAAATAGTTTACTTTTGGGGAACCTTGGCCCAACCCAGACGCACGCAGATGCCAGCTGAGGGCCGAGGCTATCGGCGAGTCTTCCTCCAAAGGAGGAAGCTGCTTGAACGTTGCTTCCCACCTTTAGGATGTTTAGGGACCTTGCTAATATCGTGGCAGCGAGCCGGCGCATCACTCACACACACACACATCTGAGCTGCACAAGCCCCAGGGGCATGTGGCAGGAGATGCGACTGATGTGTTCCAGCACTTCGCCAACGCGCTGGGACCTGAGCTTCGATCTGTGCAAGGATGCTCAAGAACAATCTATGCTCCGACTCTTCCGACAGTGGATGTACTTGGCGGCAGGTCTGTGCACTTGCAAGAGCACCTTGTCTGAAAGCACTTGAAAGCACTTGGAAGCACCGATTATGCCAGAAGATCTTCTCTCGCCAATGCCACCGACCGAACCGCGAATGCCAGGCTTGCGAAGCTTTTACGGGACATCCAGGCAGAGAGTCCACCGATTTCCTCGAGATCCGCTGACGAAGCGAGCCGACAGGTCGTCCTGGCTCACTTCGCCAGAGCCGGGGTGGTAGACAAGAACTCGAAAGGTCATGGGTAGTGGTAAGTAGGGCCCGGTTTCTCCTAACTTACAACCCTACAGCTGACTGCCTGCGAACTACCCATGAGCCTTCAAGCAGTGACCCGCGCCGCCAGGAGGCTGGAGATGGATTGGTGCCAATGCTGCACCTGCCCTGCGTCAAGGAGTGCGGCATTGTCCCGGAGAGCCCAATTTCTTAAAATTGAGGCGAGTAGTCCTTAGATCATACCCTAAATCCCTTTCCCTAAGCCCTAAACCCTAAACCCGAACCTCTACTAACATTCAAGAGTGTTTCGGAAGGCAAGGGTGAGTATTGGGCTACGTGCTTAGTCGGTTTAGGGTTTAGGGTTTGGGGTTTGGGGTTTAGGGTTCAGGGTCTAAACCCTTAGGGCACCAAGCCAGGACATGACTGCAAGTGGGGGCGAGCCCCTGGATCTCGAGACATCTTGCAGCTTCAAGACGGAGGGCAGCAGCCCCATGCAGTTCATCCATGATATGGGTGGTTGTGAAAGTTATGGTCCCTTCTTGGGGTACCCCAAAAGGGATCACAATTTTGACAACCACCCATATGATAGCTACTAGACTGTAGTAGCATATGATAGTTAGTATGATATAGTATTATTATGGTTACTAATATATAGTACCATGTGTTGGAGTCGGTGGTCTGTTTTGACACGGGGGTTTCTGTCCTTGCGTTTCCTGGTTTCAAGAACCCCATTCGGACCTTCGGACTTTGAAGCCTGCAGTAGCTCACTTGGTAATAATTCCCGGTTCGGAACAGTTCCAACTGTTTGGAGCTGTTTAGAGAACAGGGTCTAAGAATGCACTGGCAGTTCCTGAGCCTGATGGTTCTAGAGCCTTTGTTGGTGCTGCCACACAATCAAGCCACCGGGCATTCCAAACCATATGTATTATATGAGTATACTATCAGCTTTATCACGTTCTATCATCCAGATGCTTCTTGCTGGAATGGCTTGTTGCAAGACGCTGTCCCGAGGCTTGTTGAGCATGTCAGATTCTCTGACGTTGTCAGCCTCCCCAACTGGAGTGGATGAGGACGACGAAAGTTCTTGGCCATTGATAATCGTAGCTTGAGAACCACGTGGAGTCAGAGAAGAGCCCCGCTTCGGAAACGATGGGCCCCGCTTTGAAGGCACCATCAATCCCCCGCCGCTTGAGAAACTACGGGGATTCAGCAGCTATGGCAATTCGACGCTGCGTCTCTACCCCTCCTGAACTAAATCAAGACCTTCTCAGCCATGGACAAATCCGTATCATTGGCGAGTGCGAAACCAAGATTCAGAAACATTGCGTAGGTTCACCCGTTTCAGAATGTCTTCCGAGTTTGGGCTGCGGCGAGGAGGCTTGTGCAGCTGGCACCTCAGCACCTCCACCAGCGGAGGATGGACGTGTGAATTGAACATCAGATACATGCCGCATGGTAGGAGGTGGAGGCGTGCACGGCACTTTCGAGACCTGTGTCAGGAGACTCCTGCGGCTGGAAGTGGGAGCGCCCTCGAGGGATTCGAGGGCGCACCTCCTGCGCCAGCAGAGGCCGGGGGGGATGGGGGCGAAGTCACCAACTCAGTTCGAGATGTGTGTGGTCCTCTGGCCAGGCTGCGCTGAAGGCTGTGCCTTCGGCAGATGCGACGCTGCTGCCTGCCAAGGAGAGACTCTCGCCAGTTCGCCAGTAACATGATGAAGGTTGCCTGAGCTGCCTTAGCTTTCCTGAAGATGCGGCATCGATGAAGGAGGCTGCCGAGTCAGCAGGCCGTTTGAAGCTGATGTCCTCCAAGCATCAGCGGCTGGGGCAGTGCTGATGTGTGCTGATCAGTGTCGTCAGGTGACGAAGCGGGAGACCACCCAGGGGGTGCACCCCCGGCGCCGCCTGAGGCAAGGCTTTGAACAGCAGTTTGGGCCTAGCTGCGGTTGAGCTGCTGGAAGGTCGTCTCAAGGCCTTGTCATTTCTCATGTCCATGTGTTCGGGCTAGCCAGGCGATGCTGAAGGAGGCTTCCGCAGAAGCTGGCGCTACAGAGCCTCTCACTGCCGAGGATGGCTGCGGGATGGTGCGTGTGTTGACAGCACAATGTGGCAGTGTTTGAACGCAGCCGCAGCAGCAGCAGCAGGAGGAGGAAGTGGCAGGAACCAGTGCGAAGCATACGTAGGCACAACATGGTCCAGCCACGGAACCATGATATCATCATTGTCAGTCACTGCCGGCCTCGGCTTTCATATGCTGCAACTTAAATCGACCCCCCAGCCGGCCACCTGGAATCAGCATAAGCTGCGTAGCGTTGGAGCGCGGGATAGCTCGGAAACCCAGCACGTCTTCCTATCTTACGCCTCAGTTCCCGCTCTGCGCCCCCTCATGCAGCCGCACAGCATGGTGTGCATGCACGGGCAGGAGACTGCAGTCGACGCGGCTGGAGGTGGGAGCGCCCTCGAGGGATTCGAGGGCGCACCTCCAGCGCCAGCAGAGGCCGGGGGGGATGGGGGCGAAGTCACCAACTCAGTTCGAGATGTGTGTGGTCCTCTGGCCAGGCTGCGCTGAAGGCGGTGCCTTCGGAAGCAGATGCGACGCTGCTGCCTGCCAAGGAGAGACTCTCGCCAGTCCACCAGTAACACCATGAAGGTTGCCTGAGCTGCCTTAGCTTTCCTGAAAATTCGGCATCTATGAAGGAGGCTGCCGAGTCAGCAGGCCGTTTGAAGCTGATGTCCTCCAAGCATCAGCGGCTGGGGCAGTGCTGATGAGTGCTGATGTGGGCTGATCGGTGACAGGTGACGAAGCGGGAGACCACCCAGGGGGTGCACCCCCAGCGCCGCCTGAGGCAAGGCTTTGAAGAGCAGTTTGGGCCTAGCTGCGGTTGAGCTGCTGGGAGGTCGTCTCAAGGCCTTTTCATTTCTCATGTCCATGTGTTCGGGCTAGCCAGGCGATGCTGAAGGAGGCTTCCGCAGAAGCTGTAGCGCCTGCCGAGGACGTCTGCGGGATGGTGCGTGTGTTGAAAGCACATGTGGCGTTTGAACGCAGCAGCAGCAGCAGCAGCAGCAGCGGCAGCAGCAGCAGCAGGAGGAGGAAGTGGCAGGAACCAGTGCGAAGCATACGTAGGTACAACATGGTCCAGCTGCGGAACCATGATATCATCATTGTCAGTCACTGCCGGCCTCGGCTTTCATATGCTGCAACTTAAATCGACCCCCTAGCCGGCCACCTGGAATCAGCATAAGCTGCGTAGCGTTGGAGCGCGGGATAGCTCGGAAACCCACCCAGTCTTACTATCTTACGCCGCAGTTCCATGCATGGTGTGCATGCACGGGCAGGAGACTGCAGTCGACGCGGCTGGAGGTGGGAGCGCCCTCGAGGCATTCGAGGGTGCACCTCCAGGGCCAGCAGAGGCCGCAGGGGATGGGGGCGAAGTCACCAACTCAGTTCGAGATGTGTGTGGTCCTCTGACCAGGCTGCGCTGAAGGAGGTGCCTTCGGAAGCAGATGCGACGCTGCTGCCTGCCAAGGAGAGACTCTCGCCAGTCCACCAGTAACACCATGAAGGTTGCCTGAGCTGCCTTGGCCCTGAAAATTCGGCATCTATGAAGGAGGCTGCCGAGTCAGCAGGCCGTTTGAAGCTGATGTCCTCCAAGCATCAGCGGCTGGGGCAGTGCTGATGAGTGCTGATGTGGGCTGATCAGTGTTGTCAGGTGACGAAGCGGGAGACCACCCAGAGGGTGCACCCCCAGCGCCGCCTCAGGCAAGACTGCTGCTTTACTTTATAAGGGCAGGAGTCCCTTGTGAAAAGAAGGTAGCCAGGAAGGTCTGGTGCTGATGCAGATCTTCTGCTCTTGCAAGGGTTGTTCCAAAACAAAGGCCCCCACCGGGGCCCCCACCTTCCCTCCACAAACGGCCTTTGAAATGTCGAAACGCAGGTTTTCTTTAAACCGACCCGACAGGGGCCAATCCCCTTGTTTCCTTGGCAAACTGGAGGTTGGCTCGGAACCTTCCTCGATCGACCGGCTAGGCCTGGGTCCAAAGACATCAGATGCCTGCAAGATGTGGGGGTTTACGAATATAAGCTAACAAAGTCACCAACATAGTAGGATTCCCTTATAACAAGGACGCCAACAGGTTTCCGAAATAAGGGGTACCTTGCTGAGTCCTTGTTATAAGGGAATCCTACTATTTGGGGGTCTTATATTGGGAGCCCCTCATTTTCGTAAACCCCCATGCGCCCTGGTGGAGCGCCATTCCAACCTCTATCAGGCGACAAAGAGAAGCGGGCGCTGGCTGCTGCTCATCAAACGCTTACAGAGGCTGGAGTAGGATGCCCATCATCTCATAGTTTAATAGTATATGTAATCATACAAGAGTTTATCATTCTATATGTATATATAGATAAATAAATAAATAAATATATAAAGAAAGAAAGAAAGAAATATATAAATAAATATAAATAAATAAATATATATATATATATATACACATACGAGAATATGACAATAGCATCATATCAGAACCAAGAAAGCGCCCCCTTGTGATGGAACTCAGATGGCCAAGCTGCTGCTCGAAGCGACGCTGGCATCTCCGGAACCGAGTCCCCGGCCAGAGGCACCGGCATGGGTGCTAGAACGGTGCGCTGGGTTTAGGGTTTAGGGTTTAGGGTTTGGGCTGCAATGGCTCCGACTGAGGCCACAGATGACGAGAGTTCCATGCTCTGAGGGCAGCCCTCGCAGCTCAAGTTTTTGATTGTCGAATGCTGAAGCACCAGATTTCAGGGCATCTGTACAGAATCGGCGCTGCGGTGGGGCTGACTTGAAGCCTGATGATACCCTTTCCTGCAACAGCATGAGTACATGAGTACAGGCGACATCCTGTGGATATCATGCCGGAATCAGCCTCCGCGTGCATTCCCAGTACTGGGAGCTGCACAGTTCTAGCTTTTTGCAGCGAGGGCTCAGGGCTTCGGGTCTGGAGCATTCACAGTGGTCTCGACATGATCTGCAACGTCCCTCGCCTAGACCACAATGCTCCAGGTTCCCGCGGTACCCCTAGCACAGGATAGTTTGGCTTACGTAGCAGAAGCTGCATCGAAAGCTGCAGTTGCAACAGGAGCCTGCCATGGCCATGACACCTGTCATCACGGCCATGCGCATTAAAACCCAAGACTGGGAGTTGAAAGGAGGGCGAATTGAACATATGGGTGGTTGTCAAAATTATGGCCCCTTTTTGGGTCCCTGTTATAATACGGCACCTAACGTTTAGGAGACCCCAAAAGGGATTATAATTTATGACAGCCACCCATATCCCGCTTGTGCTGATCGGAGTAAGCTTCGTCTTTTCAGGATCCAGCCCTGCGTGCCCTGCAGGCCGAAGCTCCCAGGGTGGACATACCAAGCCAGCCCTTCCTGTGGGGCCAAGAGTTTAGGGTTTAAGGGTTTAGGGTTTGGGGTTTAGGGTTAGGGTTTAGGGTTTAGGGTTAGGGTTTAGGGTTTTAGGGTTTAGGGTGTAGGGTTTAGGGTTTAGGGTTTAGGGTTTAGGGTTTCGGGTTTCGGGGGATGAATCTTCCGAGAGAAAGGGGGGTTTAGGGTTCAGGATGTAGTTGGGCCAGAGTCGAAGCATGTCGGTACAGCGGCCAAGTCAACGCATCGCGAGAAGCATCAATCGAATGCTAAACCCGAGGCCTTAAACCCTAAACCGTCAGCGAGGCCGGTGGCAAAAAAAAAACACAAACCAAACCCTAAGAAGAGAGGAAACCCTAAACCCCCCAAAACCCCAAAACCCGAAAACCCGCACATCGTTGCACAGCCGATGTGAGGCCAGTATTGGGAATCGCAGGTAGCGGGCTAGGGCTTAGTTGTGTTTGGAGCTTGGGGAGCATGGTTTTCCTGTGCCTCGACAGCCCACACAAGCGGCCCCAAGTCGGCCCGATCCACTTCTTGGTGAGTTTGTTTACTGTACCCCCTGATTCCGAACTGTCCCTGCGGAGTGGTCGAGAGCGATCAGCTAGGCCCTAAACCCTAACCCTAACCCTAAACCCTAAACCCTAAACCCTAAACCCTAAACCCTAAACCCTAAACCCTAAACCCTAAACCCTAAACCCTAAGCCCTAAGCCCTAAGCCCTAAACCCTCAACCCTAAACCCTAAACCCTAAACCCTAAACCCTAAACTAGACCCTGAACCCCAAGCATCATGCCAGGGCAGAAGAAGAAGAAGACGCGGAGCAGGAGGCCCCTGAGGCGGGTCTGCGGTTGCGAGAGGAGAATGGAGGGGGAGGCCCAAGCTTATCGCTTGCCCCTTAAAAGTGTACAATAATATCTAAGAATATATATATATATAGGTAATATGTATATATACATATGTATGTATATATGTGTGTATACATATATGTATGTATATATATATATGCATATGGGTGGTTGTCAAAATTATGATCTATTTCTGGGGTACCCTAAATATTCGGTGGCGAGTTATAGTAGGGGTCCAAACAGGGACCATGATTTTGGCAACCGCCCATATGTAAATATGCTATGTATATGTATATATATAGAGATAGATGTATGTATGTATATATATACACATATATATCTATATATGTATATATATATGTATGATAAGAGTATATAAGAATATATTAAAAAGCTATAAGAACATATGTAAGAATATATAAGAATATATATAAGAATATATAAGAATATATAAGAATATATAAGAATATATAAGAATATCTAAGAATATATAAGAATATATAAGAATATATAAGAATATATAAGAATATATAAGAATATATAAGAATATCTAAAGACTATATAAGAATGCGAAAGAATATACACGAGTTTATGTATATATGTGTATATGTATATATATATATATATATATATGCTAATATTGTAATGCTATGCTATAGGTTTTTGTGAAGGAGACACCTGCATCAACTAAGTTCGTTCGAATTGGCCCTCGCCATTTGTAAGGCTTTTGCTTAGAAGTTGCTCGCATGAGTGTATGGCAGTAGGGTTTTGCGGATGCTGTGCCTGGGCCAAAGATTGCTGCGACGATTCTCCGTCAGAGCTATTTCCTGCTTGAACGTGGAGGCACGTCTTTGGTAGGAACGAGGCTAGCTTCTCTCTAAGAGGCCACGAGAAACGACGCACGAAGCTAGCAGGCTGTACTTTATCGAGCGAGGCATACAAAGCCCGAGGACAGCACTGTAATGTCACTACAAGCACTAGCAGCCACTGTAGGAAAGAATCAGATCGCCATCTCTCTCAGAGCCATAGCTCTCCCTGACGACACTGCGCTTCGGCAGTTTGACCGAACGTGCAGCTGGGTGCTTCAGATACGGGCTGGGGGTTCCAGAAAATAGGGGTACCCTTATGGGGGTTCCTATAATAAGGATTATACTAGTTTGGGGTACATTAAGGGTACCCCTACTTTTGGAAATGCCCGGCTGAGTAGCAATAACGTCAAGTCTAAGCAGACTGGCGCTTGTGTGCATGTTGTACAAGAACTTGCTTCGTGGTTGCTGTTGGGATGTTCCCCCTTCTCCTAACAGTCCTTAGTAAGGATTATCGTACTCCCTGTCAGAATCCCTACTACAAGCATTACAAGCATTATAGTACTGAGGACTGTTAGTATAAGGGGGAACATCCGAAGTTGTCTGAATGCTGTCCCGAGGTAAGTCGGTTCGTTCAGAGATGCGGAGCTTAGCCCTCAACCGCCTTGCCCTGAGCAATGAAGACAACCAAGACAACACACCAGTTAGGTGAGTGTGCAAAAATATGTGTATACGTATATATATATATGTATATATATATATGCATAGATGTTAATACAGAAGAATGTAAAACTACATGATAATCTAGAATAAAATTAAGAATATATACGAGAACATATCATAATTTATAAGAATAAGTACATAATAGTTTTTTATATAGCCACATACAACAATAGCACTTATCTTACAACAATATATACTTCATACCAGATTATATACATAATACATGAATGGTACGTTTACTAGTAGTTCCAGTCCGAGGCCTCTGGGGCAGCGAGTCGGCTGAGGGAGGCAGCGTGTGCAAATTGAGTGAAGCTTCTTCTGGGTGCACCTTGACACCCTTTAACACACATTCCTTTCAGCACTGCCTTCAACACTTGATCTCAAGATCCTTCAACACACCCCTCAAGACATGTAAGGCACTTATCAACCTAAAACTTTTACCGCACCTCAAACACCTTTTCCAACACCCAGCACCCCTGAACACCCTGGAGAGGCGCTGCGGCTGACAATGCGGCCAGTGAGGCGCGTGTGGCGCAACTGGAGGCTGCCTTGGCGGAGGCGCGTTGCTTTTCCGTCCCACTCAACCCTAAACCCTAAACCCTAAACCCTCAAGCCCTAGACCCTAAACCCTAAACCCTGTGAGGGTTCTGCTGAGAGATTGACCGCTGCAGGAACGCCGCAGGAGTGTGCAAAAAGACGAGGAGATGGTGCAGATGCAGAAGCTCATGGCAAAGCTCGAAAGCGACTTTCCCGGCAGTTTAACACTTGGCTGTGGTGGCTTCGCATGAAGACGGCCTCAAAGGTCACATCGAGCAGCAAGCCAAAGACTCAGAGCTGGAGCAAAACCGCCTGAGCAGCTTGGAGACAGCCGCTTGGCTAGAATTGGGGGCATGGTGTTGGCACTGTTGGCAAAGTTGCACAACAAAAGGGGGACCCCCAAACAGGGGGGGGGGGAGGGGGGGGGGGGCCCTGAAAAGCAGAACCCGAAACCCGAAATCCTAAACCCTGAACCCTAAAATCCTAAACCCTAAATCCTAAACCCTGAACCCTAAAACCCTAAACCCCAAAACCCTAAACCCTAAACCCTAAACCCTAAACCCTAAACCCTAAACCCTAAACCCTAAACCCAAAACCCTTGAACTGTCCTCGCAGCACGAGATTCCACCTCCACATGTTCGTTGACCTACACTATTAATTTATCGTGTTTGGAGCTGCGGTTGAGTGGGAATCTGGCGGATTGTCATGGTGAGAACCTTCCAACCGAGTCCTTGCCTGCCTTGTGCGAGCGCGAGAGCCGAAACCCTAAACCCTAAACACCTTAGAAAATGGGGACCAAAAGTGCGCTGGGAACCCGCGAGGTGCTCTCGCAGAAGCAGCAAGCCGAGGCAGGGCTTGGCTGCTCAAAAGCTTCCCAAGCACCTTGTGAGAGGAGATGAGTTTAGGGTTTAGGGTTTAGGGTGCTTACTCAGCTTATGAAAACGTGGGTGGCTCGGCGGCAGTGTGAGTAAACGGCCTGCCTGTTGAGTCCGAGAAGCCTGCGGAAAGAGGTGCCTCATCCCAGCCTCAAGCAAGGAGCCGTTGGCGAGCAATCGGAGCTTACACTGTAGCCTACTCCTTGGTAGGAAAGCGAGAAGGTGAAGAAGTGGCTTGGTTGCGATTCAATTTTGCCGAAGTCTTCTGGCCGTCTGGTCAAGGAGGTAGGAACCGTGAGCGGCAGTTGCAGCACCCAGCCTCGCATCATGTGTGCAGCTTTGGCACTGCACGCTGTCCATCAGCTTCTTGCTCGGATGAGCTCCGTCGACCACCCGGCCCTTCGAGCCTTCCCAACATTGGCCTAAGAAAGCATGTGCATCGCCCAAAGCAAAGCTTAGGGCAGGGTTGTTTTATATATTTATTACTATTATTCTTATTATGATTATTCACTCTTAAGTCTCTTACAACTGTACTTATACAAATATGCAATAATGGGGGGGCGATTGGGAGAGGTTGGTTCTCGCCCTCGCCGAAGTGAAGCGGCAGAAGGCCTGGATGTGGGCCGCCATGAAACCGACAGAAACTCTAAACCCTAGACCCTAGACCCTAGACCCTAAACCCTAGACCCTAAACCCTAAACCCTAAACCCTAAACCCAGTTGGTTGGCTTCGGCGGGCCGCCACTTGTCCATGGCAGCCAGGAAGCGGCTGAGAAGACGGCAATAGATGAAGGCGAGAGAGCAGAGAGGCAGGAGGAGAGACTTACCTTGGTTGATGCTTGGGGGTTTAGGGTTTAGGGTTTAGGGGTTGTGCTGAGATCTGTACGCAGCATTCGGCTGACCACAGGCTGGAGAAGCAAATGTCAGACTTGCAGAAGAAGTCCGATTCCTGTCAGTCGATCGCCTTAGTTGGCTGGAGCTTGCGTTTGCCTTTTAGTCATGTGAAATATGAAGCTGCTTTAGCTCACGAAGGGATGTGCAACCTGTGGCCAACAGCAACAACGCCGAGGAGGAGTTGCATTCTGCACACAACCTTCAACCCTAAACCCTACCAGTGGGACTGGTTTTCCCGTGCTAAATCCGCGTATGTCTATAGACAAGTTCCACCAGTAAAGTCATAGTGCATCCTTGTTGGTGGAATCTGAGTGTGTAGATGTAGATGAGCGGGAGTCAAAAACGTTCCCTGAACAGGAGCTGCAGCGGCTACGAGAAGAGTGTGCCATCGAGCAGCAGAAGCGAGAGGACGTCATGACATGCAACAAGTACTCCCCAAATCCCTCAGCACCATGTCAAGAGCCCAGTCTTATTCCTTCATTAAGCGGGGGCTTCGAACTCTGTTCCCTGTGCAGTCTGCGAAGTCCGAAGCGACTCTTTCACTGCAACGTGGCTTCCCTTCTTTACTGCGATCAGTGTCGTCGAAACCCCCAACCCTCAAACCTGTAAACTATATATGTGCAGACAAGATCACAAACACACGGTACCTTCAAAATGTGTATGCATATTTACGTAAAGGAGCAATCCCTGACCCCCCTCCCCGAAACTTAAATTCCTGGACCCCCCCTAAACCCCCTCACCCCCCCCTACCCCCCCCTCTCCAAGCTCCCTTGGGAGCTCCCTAATATCATGGGAATGGTGCAGGATTCTGAAGTTCGCGAGAGGATGCAGAGGGCCAAGTTGGAGCAGCTTGAGTCGCAGTTGCTTGGAAGCACTTTTGCAGGTTACACCCCTTTGTTGCTTCAGGTTGGGGTTTACGTTAAGTTTAGGGCGTTTAGACGAGGGCCGACACCCTAAACGCGATGGGTGATGTGGTTGTGGCTGTCGGGCAGGGATTGACGGTTTGTTGAGCACTTGAAGCCTCGAAAGGGCTTAGGCCTCAAAAGCTCTCGCATGCTTTCAAGGCCCCGAACTCTGAAATCCATGAGGTCCGCCCAAAAAGGCACAAGGATCACGTTACCCCCCCCCCCCCTCTCCCAAAAAAAGGAAGGGGTTTCGGGCCTTAGGGTTTAGGGCTCAGGGCTTAGGGCTGGCTTACTTTAAGATTTTGGGTTTTGGGTTTGGGGCTTCGGGCCGCCTCACACCCCCAAACCCCAAACCCTAAACCCCAAACCTCAAACACCCAAAATCTGTCATCCCCTGCCAAACCGTAAACCCTAAACCCTAAACCCTAAACCCTAAACCCTAAACCCTAAACCCTAAACCCTAAACCCTAAACCCCAAACCCCAAACCCCAAACCCCTAACCCCGCCCCCCCCGCCCCCCGCGCCCACACAGGCTCTCGGAAGTGTCTGCTCGGGAGCAAGCAACAGCTCCTCGGCTGACCGGGTCATTTCCCGAGCCTCTCTGATAAGCGCTGGCGACTCCCAGTCTGTCTTATTACTATGGTTATTGTGAATATGTTTAATATCTACATACATGGTCATCATTCACTTTCTTCTTGATGGATTGGCAAGATTATTCTTGTTGTCGATTTTTTCCTACTGTTAGATGAATATGTTTATTCTGTTGCTATTAGAATGAAAAAAGATATTCTTGTCACATTTTGTGAAAAAAGCCATGGTATACTTGCACGCCCGACGCGGGGCGCCTCACCTGGGAGATTCCTGCGCTCTTCCGGGTGAGCTCGTGCGGCACGCACATGCAGCGATATTTTGGTGGCCCTCGCTGCTCCTGCTACTGCATAACTATTGAGAAGACTATTTTTGCCTTTGGAAGCATTTGCAGGATGGTGCTGCGATGGCAAAGCAACTTGAAGAAAAGGAGCAGCGCATTCAGGACTGCTGCCGGTCCCTCAACCAAGCTGGTTGTGTCAAGCCCTAAACCCTAAACCCCTAAACGCCTAATCCCCTAAGCCCTAAACTCGAGTTGTCACAGTGTGACCCGGATCCTTGCTAGGGAGTCGAGACCCTGAACCCTGCTTGGCTAGATGGGTGGCAAAACCCTAAACTTGGGATGCTCTCCGTTATACTATCAGTCCTTGATGGGGGTGCGCCCCATTATTTTCCCTCTTAAGGACTGCCCAACCCTAAACCCTAAGCTTCTTCCCTCTTTGCTCCTCCCCTAGGGTTTACGGGGCTGGCTGCTAGTAGGTGAGATATGGTTTCTTTTCCTGAATGGCAAGTGTGTTGTTCCTGCAGTGTGCTTTTCAGTCAGCAAAGCCGGGTGGAAACAAAGGGGGTGCGGGATGGAAAGGTGAGGGTTGTAAATCTCCCAAAACCCAGGCTGAACACATTCTTTCCCCGCCTCGGCCTGGGCCTGGATTGCGGGGTGTGAAGCTTATTGCCCAGAGACTCCAAAGCCCCTTAGTTCAGGAAGGTACCTTCAATCATATTAGGGTTGCCACTATAGTTTAAAGGATGTTGATTAATCAGGGGTTTCGGAGTCTCTGGGTGTAACACGGGCTCATCTAAGGACCACACTCCGCAAAAAGTGTGCGGGGAGGGTGGGCGGGGAAAGGTTGGGTGGGGGAGAGGGTGGGGGATTGATGTCCGCCACCTGTCGCCTACAGGGGTACCAATTCCAGCCAAAGCGAAAGTAGTCTGCACAAAGTTGTCGAAAGAAGGGCTTCTTGCAACGTGACTCAGTTCATCAAAGGCATTGCTTGTGGATTTCGGGAAATGTAGCTTACGCACTCCAGGAAATGCTGCCTGACATGTTGCTTTTGAAGTTCAAGGTAGTCGTAGCGCTGGAGTTTTCCGGGGACATTCACGCATGACCAGAAACATGTGAACGCACGGTTTCGTGTCCGAGCAGGGTTCTGCCGAGGGGAATCACCCGCATGACCAAATGACTGCGTGCAGTTTCATGTCAGCAGCCCTAAACCCTAAACCCTCAACCCTCAACCCTAAACCCTAAACCCCTAAACCCTAAACCCTAAACCCTAAACCCTAAACCCTAAACCCTAAACCCTAAACCCTAAACCCTAAACCCTAAACCAGGAACTGCTGCAACGCCTGACCATGACGGAGACAGCGCTCCGAGAGCCGAGCGAGCTGATGCTGTCGGGCGACGCCGTTGGGGGCCGAGCTACCTTGTTACAAGTGGGGTTTAGGGTTTAGGGTTTAGGGTTTAGGGTATCGGACCCTAAGCACCCAAACCCTGAACTCCAGTTCAGCTAAATGGGGAAACGTAGAGTTTGTGCAAGTTCTGCATGTTCGACACGCGCAGCCACCCGGGTCAGGTGGTCGCCGATCTCCACGAGCGCCTAAACTTCGAGGCCACACACACTTGGCAGTGGCTGCTACTGATGGATGCTGCCACTAGCTTTGGGTGGCCAGCAGCTGTGGGGGAGTGATGTAAACAGGAAGTTCACGCCAGACTCGGATGCGCACGCCACGCCAGGAGAAACGCCGAAGAGAATCCGAGAGCCTCGTTGCTGATCGCGACGGTGAGCTGCTAGGCTGCCGAGATGAATCAAAGGCCAACGAGCGCCAGGAACGAGTTCGAGAACGCACTGTCTGCCTGAGTAACGGGCTCCCAAGTTGAACCAGGTCAGGTCAGAGGCATGTGCGTGGGGCATGTCAGCACTCACTGAAAAGTAATACCCTGCAAACAGCCCAGGTTGAAGCACCTGCGCCAAAGGTTGAGTGGCGAGGAGAAGGCAGCTGTGAGTTAGAAGCCCGGAAGTGACGTCCCAAGCTAGACCGTACTTGAAATGTTCCATTTAGAACGAACTGCAGAATTACGCTTGCCAGACGGGTTTTCCGGAGCAGTTGAGCAAACCCGAAACCCTGCCTCAAACTATCCCGAGCCCGAAGCCCTCCGTTGAGTCGCAGGCGTGCGAGTTTAGGTTTTGTTTTTTTCCCCGGGGAAGTCCAAGCAGGGGGACAGGGAGCTTCGGACCTCCGGAGATAGGCCCATGCCCACAGGAACGCCAGGAGCGGGATACGCAGCTGCAGCAATTCGAGACCAGCCTCCGGGACATGAAGCGCGAGAAGAGCGAAGTGCCCCTTGGCGGAACGTAGGGGCAGCCTGTGCTTGGCGCCGGTGGGCCCTTAGGCGTGTCTGTGTGCACACAGGCATGCCTGTCCTTTCAAAGTAGCAGCTTTTTTCAGGGGCACGTGGCGCAGCCCTTTTTGTGCGACGCTTGCTGCAGGCTGACGCGGCTCTCAGCGAAGGCGCGGAGCTCGGGGGCGACTTGAGAGATTTCAAGAGCCTACAGAATTAAGGTCCTTGGTACATGATTAGGATCCGGAGTTGTGTTCGCCATCTTCAACCCATCGAGCCGCAAAGGAGTCGCACATTGCTGAGCTCCAGCGCCAGCTCGCAGAGGAGCTTTCCCAGAGACAGGCGCAGGGCGGAGGGGTGACAGAGTGGAGCTGCGGGCGTTCAGTGACTTCCTGACAGGAAGCCCAGAAGCAGCTGGTGGAAAAGGACCCGTGGAAACAGACTCCTCTTTTTCTCTGAGCTCAGATGCAAGATGCCAGCTACGCATGGCATGTCCGATATATCCTACCCTAAACCCTAAACCCTAAACCCTAAACCCTAAACCCTAAACCCTAAACCCTAAACCCTAAACCCTATGTGCTCACTCCCTATGGGGTCTGCTAGGCGGGTGGCAAAAAAAAAACCCTATGTGCCTACCTTTATGCAGAACCGTCCTGTCGTTGACTTTTGCTTGGTTGTGCATTGTACGCCGTGTGTCTAGTGCGACTTGTGGCCTCAAGAGCCCTAGGCCTTGGGAAGCCTTAGGGTTTAGGGTTTAGGGTTTGGGGTTTAGGGTTTAGGGTTTAGGGTTAGTGTCTCCACAGGAAAGGGCCATGAAGGACATGCGGGAGCTGCCGCTGGAAAGGCTTGCAGGGGTTGAGCTCAATTCTGGGGCCCTTGTGCGGGCGTCTCTGTGCCAGAATCGCTAGAAAAGGCCCAGGGTCTGGAGCTGCCGAAATCTGCTTGAGGCTTTCGGCCCAACAGGCTGTTCAGGAGCAAGTGATCGAGAAGGCCTGCCGGCGCGGCATCGTTTGGTTCAGGTATCCTTAAGCTTCAGGATGCAGGATTGTCCAGGCAGGAGGGTCTCTGGAGATGCATGTGCATGCAGGTGTCCGCAAGCAAGGCGCGCACACCAAAAAGCCCTCACACTCTGCTTGCAAGGAGCGGGAAGTTTGCAGCTTGCAGCAGCAGCTGGCAGATGAGCTCTCCAAGCGCCAAGCTGTTACCTGGCAGAGAGGCGTATGCTGGAGCCCTTCGAAGGAGCATGCGTTTTTAGGGGACGTTGGCAAATGTGGGCAACAGTAGTGTGCCATCCAGGTTCAGTACCAGATTATCGAGAAGGATCGACAGATCTGCGAACTACAGTCGCAGCGTCTTGGCCAAAATGCCGTCCCGTCTGAATTGAGCATGCCAGTGACATCAGCCGAGGATCTCAGAGCAGAGTTCTACCGGCAACTCGCCGGAGGGATACAATGCGGATGGGACGATCCTTCAGCCCATTGAGGAAGACGGGACCCTGAGCGAGAACTACGGGTCGATCTCCGTCGCCGCATCGGTGGCCACAAGCACGGCCCAGGCAACGCCGAAGAAGCTTCCCCCGTGGTTGAACTCGCACGCCGTCAGACAGTCAGTGCCCGTCTCCACGCCCAACTCAACCACCCGGAATATGGCGGAGGTGCGGCTCCCCCAGGGAGTCTTGACCTTCAAGTCCCTACTGTAGGCGGTTATTCATCGACACACTTAGCATCACTTCCTGTGGCAGACCCTAAGCCGTAAGCTCTATACCTGTAGAGATTTGTTGCCTTCGTCTCTAGGTTTTGTGCCTGAGGGGAGGGGGACACTGGAGCAAAGCAGAGATCATTGATCACAACATTTTGCCAAGCAGTAACGAGTATGGTTCCCTACAGTGCATCTCTCGGAGTCAGCTAGGCGGTTGACAAAAAAAAACCATCTAAACCCTAATTTCCCAAACAAGCTCAGGAATGGTCTCGCCTTCAACCAGCTTTCAGCCTGGGCGCGTGGGCGGCGTGGGCGTCGTGTCTGGGGCGAGCTACCCGAGCCCCGTTGTCAACTATCGTGCCCGCGTATATGGTGTGCCTCCGAGACACCAGAGCGGCCATTTGCCACATCATCTGGCACGTCGCCTTGCCCAAGGGGCATCGACCTTTACATAGATCAGTGTTGAAGTCAGCCAGCGGCTTGGAGACATCGCTGTAGAGCGGCTGTGTGTCGCCAGCTGCTGATTGACTTGATTTTGCCGTGACGTTCAGTGGGGACTTGAAGTTGTCGTTACAGCTTCAAATCCCAGTTCCGCGGTTTGCGCGGAGGTGTTGCGCCTTACAGGCGCGCCGCTTTAGTGGATCCGACGCGGGAAGCCGAAGGGCCGAAGGGGGCCCTTAATGTGACAATTTGAGGGGTTTCCGGTACCCTTATTCTGGGAAATACCGAATTTGTGACAGCTGGTATGCTAGGCAGCCTTCTTTATGTAAGGGTTCTGATGGTTCTGGTTTGTGGAAAGATTCTGATTCTGATGGTCGCTTCTCTAGATTATGGTCCCTTTTTGGGGTCACGATTTCTAAGGCGGCCCCTAATATTTAGGGTACCCAGAAGGGACCCGAATCTTGAGAAATGACCTGATTGTATGGCAGTAGGCGTCCAGGATCTGCATCACATAGCGCCGGATCATGCAGGGCATGAGGGGCACAAGTTGCCGTTCCAGGCGCTGACTGTTTAGTTTTCGGTGAACTTGGGCGAGGCTTCCAGGCTTTGTTGTCGGCTTTTGCCCAAACAGACTTCTGCCTTTCGCCGCAACGAGGGTGCCAAAACAAGACTGGGGCCTAAACCCTAAACCCTAAACCCTAAACCCTAAACCCTAAACCCTAAACCCTAAAACATAAACCCTAAACCCTAAGCCCTAAACCCTAAACCCCAGTAGCAGCTTGCTCTCGGCGGCCCTCGGGTGCCACAATGCTGCGGACAGCTGGACAGCAGCTTTTGAGCAGGCGGATCCCTGGTATGGTTGTGAAGCTCTCAGCATGCCAGTCTTCGTGTGGTTTAGGGTTTAGGGTTTAGGGCTTAGGGTGGTGATCAACATGCGCACATGTCCCCTGGGCGTGGCTCCCGGCTGATTTGAATAGAGCTCCGGGTCCAAAAGGGCTTAGGGTTAGACTCCTGGGAGGATCCAGAAAATAGATCCCCTTAAGGGTCCCTAAGAATGACCCTAGACTACTATACTACTTGGGGGGTTCAAATTTTTTGGATCCTCCCAGGGGTCTGGGTTCGTGTGGTGCCTGTGATGGCGAATTTTGCAATTCTGAGGCGAAGAAATAGCCAACGAGGACTCTGCAACACTCACGCCTCAGAGCTCCCTGGGCCAGTGGATCCCGCAACAGCCTCCCAGGACATGGTTTCTTTCCTGACAGACTTTGCCAGGCTGAAGTCGGGACGCCCAACGAAGATTTTCAACCCTAAACCCTAAACCCTAAACCCTAGACCCCATCAGGCTTCGGCCTGATCGGAAAAGCGCGCAATCGAGGCACTACGAGGGTGCTCAGGCCTGGGCAGAAGAGGCCGGGCAGGGGCGCGTCGCTCCCCGAACACGCAGAAGAGTCGAGGTTTAGGGTTTAGAGTTTAGGGTTTGGGGGATTAGGGTTTAGAGTTAGGGTTTTGGGTTTAGGGTTTAGGGTTTAGGGTTTAGGGTTTAGGGTTTGCCGCAGACATTCTGCCACATCTGCGTCATGTGCGTCCTGTGGCGGGGCAGGCATTCTTGCGGCTCGATGACCCCGACCTTGACGAGTCGCTGCTCCCGGTGCCCACCCGGAGACCCGAGTGGAGTGAAGCCGGAGGCGGCGAGCGGGAATTGAAGAGAAATAGTAACAAATAAACAAAAATAGCAATAGTCATAATAGTCATTAGTAACAACAGAAGTAGTAATAAGAAATGGCAAATATTATCCTCTCCTGTGGAGATCGAAGTTGATTTCAGGACCTCTGCTTCCGCTGCTTCCTGGCAGTGTCGGATCAAAGAAGGCCTGTCTCTTGCATTCGGATTTAGGGTTTTTTAGCGTCAAAAAGCCCCAAATGCGACTTTTCAAGCTCTTTCCAGTTGTTTTTTCGGATGCAGGCTTCGGAGGTCAGTGTGCGGCACCTGCGTGGATGGGGCGGCTCCGAGCCTGACAGGCCTGGAGCATAAAATTGAGAAGACTCGAAGTCCCGCGAGGAAGCCTTCATTCATATCTATATACATATATATGTATATATGTATATATATATATATTGTATTATTGTATTTTGTATATACACGCAATATAGTATAGCCAAGCTATTTGAGAATTTCAAGTTGCCCCAAGAGGGGCCCCCTCAGATTCAGCCTACCCCTACCGCTGTCATCATGTCCTTGGGATGGGCCATGATGTGTCCCGCTGTGCCCTGCTGTGCCGGCGGCGGAAACCCTAAACCCTAAACCCTAAACCCTAAACCCTAAACCCTAAACCCCAACCCTAAACCCCAAACCCTAAACCCCAAACCCTAAACCCCAAAACCCTAAACCCTAAACCCCTAAACCCTGCCTGCCCGCGGTTCGGCCGGCTATGCGGGAGCACAAAAAACCCCCTAAACCCCTAAACGCCTAAACCCTAAACTCCTAAACCCCAACACCCCTAAACCCTAAACCCTAAACCCTAAACCCTAAACCCTAAACCCTAAACCCTAAACCCTAAACCGAAGGCATGTCGAAGCTGCCCGGACCAGTCTTCAGTCCCAGTCGACGATGACGAGTTCAGGCGCCGGGGTGGCAGCCAGAACTTCGGCCCCAGCTAGAAGCAGCCAGACCCTAAACCCTAAACCCTAAACCCTACACCCTAAACCCTAAACCCCACACCCTACACCCTAAACCCTAAACCCTGTCGCTTCGTCAGGTGGCCGCAGCACGGTGGCCTCCTCAAACTGTGCGAAGGGAGTTGGGGGGGGGCTTCCGAAATTAGGGGTACTTTATTTGGGGTCCTGATTATAAGGGAACCCTGCTATTTCGGGTTTAGGGTTTAGGGTTTAGGGGTACCTTATTGGGGTCCTTATTGCAAGGGAGTTTTTTTCTGTTTGGGGGTCTAGGGTTTAGGGGTCTCCCTTTCGGGGGCATGCTAGGCCTCCAGTGTGCGAGCATTACGCTCTCCAGGTTCGCTCCGCCTACTCTATAGCCGGGATCTCGGTTCCCAAATTTGGGAAACAGGGGTACCCTCTTGTACCCCAAATAGAATAGAGCCCCCTTAACGGGACACCCCCCCCCCCCCTAAAGCCCTGTCTTGGGAAACCCCAAGTTCTGAAATTGTGGGAGCATGAAAGCTAAGTGGGTCCAGCTGCAGGGATCTTCGAGTGCAGACACCGGCCCGGAACTTACCGCATGATCACCGTTCTCACCCGCGTGCGCTTGCTTGGAAGATGCCGGCAGTGACCTGTGTAGCTGCTTCAGTTCATGGTTCAGATGTCAAGGGTGTCACCTATGTAGCATAGCACAGCAGCTGCTTCAGCCCGTCGTCAGTGCGCAGCTTCCAGATCTCGGATAGGCGGGATGACATGACTCGCCCCGTGCGCAATGGCCCATGTCTCTGGACTGCTTCTGTTCTGCAGCGTCGTGGCGGGGTTCCTTTACTACACAGCCTGGGTCTTGCTGCTACCGATGTGGGCACCTGAACATGCCCCATGGCTTCATGCAGCCTTCCCTCCACGCATCTGGGCACTGAAAATTCCGGGTCTCATCCTAGTAACTCTCGTCGCCGGCTTGACTGGATTTGTGGGCCTGGTGCTGGCGGGCGTGGTCGGAGAACAGGATGCGAAAAGGCACTGAAGGACGCTGCCCTGCAACCAGCGGTCGCAAGCGCATCGACCGGAGCGACCAGAAGCGGATAGCTGCTATTGTTCTAGCATGCTCTAAAAGACCTGCAGAGAAAAGGTGCGACTGCCGTTCCGCAGATGCCGAGGATTAGTGCATACACGGGGTTGCTGCTTGCAGGTGCGACAAGCCCTCCCCTTTGGAGGACACCTGCCTACAAAGCTTTCCTTTGCGTCGGGCGCTACGCAGAGCATCCGTAGGAGTGCGGAGCGGCCATTGAAGGGATGGGGTTCTCCCCACAGTACAAGGCTGGAGCCTCAGAAACTCAAAAGTGTCCTGGACCTGCCCCAACCCGTGCTTAGTTAGGGGCCTAATTAGGGAAGCGTCAGGCTACTTCCTAAAATGCCTCGTGGTTGGGAACCAGTGCACCAGCATGGCCAGAGCCTCAGTGTGGATCGTGTGGCCGTGTCCTGACCTATAACCTATCGTATGGTGGCGTAGCACACCATGAGTTTGAGGCTCGTCCATGTCCCCGACAAGGCCCACTCAACAAAAGGGTGGTTTCCGAAAATAAGGGTCCTCGAAATGTAGACCGCAAATAGTGGGATTCCCGGACCCCAAGAAGGTATCCCCGAATTTCGGAAACCCCCAAAATCGATCGCGAAGTGTGTCCCTAGCAAGGTCCCAGAGAATTCCAAGCCCCGGGGAGTTTTTGTTGAGCGCATGGTTTGCAGGTTAGAGGATCCACCAGCTGAGGAGAGTGGGGGCGATGGGCTCCCTGGCTGCACGCACCTTCCTTTCTTTACTAAACCTCAACACTCCCGATTCTTAAAGGCCTTCTGACATCTTATGACCCTGAAAGCACTGGAAAACCCTTGGGGCAGAAGTCCGGGTTGCCCTACAAAAAGGGAACCTTCAGTCGTATTCCCCTGGGTATTTCCCTATAGGGGTACCCCCCTTTGAACCCCCAACGCAGACTAGAATCCCCTTACAGGGCCTAAAAAGGGTACCCCATTTTCAGAAATCCCCAAGCCCTAGACCCTAGACCCTAGACACTGTGGGTGTGCGCGCGCCGGCGCCGAGGTGGATGAGTAATGTTTGGACAGGCCTCGACCCTGGCCTTCAAGAAGGGTTGGGGGTTGGGATCTTCCCCCCTTATGCTAACAGTACTTTGTGGGGATTCTACGGGGCGTTACTACAATCCTATCACTATTACGTGCTTAGGAACCCAAAAGAGTAGAAAATCATATTCCCTATATTACCCTTAAACAGGAATGTTTTTTTTTAAATACATTTTCCGGTGTTCTTAAGCAATTGGTAGATTAAGGACTGTTGGTATAAGGGTGGAAGATCCCAAGGTAGGGGGCCATGGTCAGGTTTAGGGTTTAGGGTTTAGGGTTTAGGGTTTAGGGTTTAGGGTTTAGGGTTTAGGGTTTAGGGTTTAGGGTTTAGGGTTTAGGGTTTAGGGTTTAGGGTTTAGGCTATGCAACCGAAAGCTTCTCGCTTAGGACTCTGGAGCCTAGCGTCTGCGCCACACACGCCTGTCGCTCAAGATCTATCCAGAACGCTGTTGAGAACGCTTGTCAAGCTGTGTGATGTCAGGGAAGGAACGTCTTCACAAGTCGGCTGAGTGATACTATGATGCATCACTGGCGCCCAGTTTTATCTCGCGCTGGTTCCTCGGAAATTATTTTGCCAAATTAGCAATGTCTGTTTGCAGGCCAGATTCTGGGTTTCACTCCTGGCTGACAAGCCAAGAAATTAATCATCAGAAGATTCTGCACACTGGCGTGCCATTGAGCCCCATGCAACCATGCCTTCCTTATGCATGTGGAGTGAGTCTCTGTGTGTGTGTGTGTTGGTTGTGCCGAGCCTATGCTGGCAGGGGGCTTTCATGGCTGTCTTGACTGGGGCACAGCTGCTTCGAAGTGGGTAACACGCAACAAGTTTGTACGAACAGGAAGAGCAGCATTGCGCGAAGCTTTGTGATGTTGGACGTTTCCTCATACCTGCGTCAAGAGTCAAGGCGCATCTTTGCCGATGAGCCAAGTATGCTAACGTTCACTTAATTTTGGGTCACAGACAGTTTGTCGATATTTCAACGAAATGTACAGGCCGACCCTAAGTTGGATCGCCCTGCGACGTTGAACCTGAGAGGCTACCACGCCTTCGCCTCAATTCTGCAGAAAGAAGCAGCGCCTCTGAGAGTGGGGCTTCCAAACAGGCGTTGCACACTTGCACTACGCTCGTCCATCCGTGTCGGGGCTTGCAGCTTCACGGGGGCTGCCGCGGCCTCTGCGCCCTCCAGCCATCCCTGCGCTTGTTGCCGCCGTGAAGGTTCTTTTTTTTTTTTTCTTTTTTCTGTGCAGTCGTGAGAGGGCATGCAGCATGCAAATCATTTCCGTGTCGAACTGTGGAGCTGTGCATGAAGTATCCGAAGAGCCGGACATCCAAGCATGAGGGCGTACCTGTCTCACACCGCGAGTTTCAGAAATAGAGGGGATCCCAAAAAAGACCTGCGACTGCACGGGTCAAGATGTGGGGCTCAAGTGCTGTTAGTCTTGGCGACAGTATGGCTCCGCGATTTTTGTCATGCTTGTTGATGGCCGCGGTGTTGCAGGGCTCGTGGGCATGGAAAGTCACTGCCGGGCTTTGCAGTGTCGACGATGATGGATGCGTCGTCAGCACGAACTTCCCCAAGGAGTATCCCAATGACGACACCTGCGTCATCGAGGTCTTACCCGGTGAAAGGAAGTCCTTAGAGGTCTTGGCTTTCTCAACGGAAGCTGGTCGGGACACGGTTTCAGTGAATGGTATCGACTTTTCCGGCACGGAAGGGCCGGAGGGCATGGTACCGGTGGGATCCATCTTGTGGCATTCAGATGCGAGGTATCGATTTGGGATGGGTTTTAAAAATTTCCCTTGTTGTTTGATTTAGCGCCCGAATTATCAACAATTTTGGGACCGGGTTGAAATCCACACCTAGGATGGCCAAGGGAAGGGATCGGGTTGGAAGCTTTGCCTCCGTGAGAAGCCTCCCTCATCACGCTTGCTCCAGAGTGGCTTACTGTTGGTTAGCAGGGAGGGAATTTGGGCCCTATTGATTCATACCTTTAAGGGGTTATATAGGGTACCATATATACATATATACACATGTATATGGAGATATCTTTATATATAAAAAAATATATATATATATATATATACCCTTAGAAGGAGTATATAGGGCATCGCATATATATATATATAGCTATACATATATACACACACACACACACACACACACCCTTTAAGGGATTATATAGGGCACCTCATTCCCCCATTCCCTACTAACCAACAGTAAGGTGGTGCGTCCACCTTTTCGGAATTGGCCTGCGACTTCGAAGCGGGGGGTTTACGAAAATAAGGGTTTAGGGTTTATGATTCTACTCCCCCAGATAGTAGGATTCCCTCACAAAAAGGACCCCAATAAGGTACCCCTAAAGCCTAAATCCTAAACCCTAAACCTTAATTTCGGAAGCCACCCTCATAAGGTACCCCTAAACCCTAAACCCTAAAACCTAAACCCTAAACTCTAAGCCCTAATTTCGGAAAACCCCCCAGGTGGACCTCTGCTCTTGGCAGACTGAGGGCAGACATCCCTGGCTGCCATATTCAGGTCCAACTCCCACGCCATTCACTGGACCAGATGCAGCATTCGATGGCCACTGGTACGTGTATGCAGAGACGGATTTGATTAACTCTGATCCTTCCATCCAGCCGATGTTTTGGCTAACCAGCCATATCTTCACAGCATCGCCGGCAGCCCGGTATCTGCACTTCTCCTACCACATGAGTGGTTACGACACCCAGACTTTGCGGCTTGAAAGCTGGAGCTGGGACAATGCCTGGCTGATGACGCAGCTTTGGTCTCGGCAGGGGCCGCAAGGCTCTTCATGGGGCATCGCCGTAGTCAGCGTGCCGCCCAACGCAATTCTTCTGCGGTTCGTCAGTGACATGCACTATCTTTTTTTCGGCCAGTTTTTTGGCATCTGGCGGAGTGATATGGCCTTGGACGCCATCGGCATCGGTGTGCCGACTGTGGACTTCAAGCAGCTCTCATGCAATTTCGACTTCGATGTGTGCTTGTGGCTCAGCACAGGCAGTTCGACATGGCAGCGCGTGAAATCGGATGGGGCAGACTGGTGGCTCGAAGCTGCAAACACGTCCGAGACCCAGCAGTTCATCCTGGAGACATTGGCAGCATTCAATATCACGGAGGAGAAGGCTTTGATCTTCGACTATCAGCTCTTTGGCTCAAGCTCGGTCTCATTGAAACTGGAGCAGAGGACGCCGGAAACGGACTGGCAGAGCCTGTTCACAGAGTCGGGTGGCCGTGATGCCGCGTGGCGCCCAGCCCTTCTTCGTGTCCCCGCCGGCACGGTGGCCCTCCGCGTGTCAGCTGTCGTAGCTGCAGGGGACGTCGTACGCGTGCGCTCGCTGCAAGCAGTGGATGTGGTGCCAGGTCTCTCGCAAGTCGCTTGCGGTTTTGAGGCTGATCTGTGTGGTTGGTCCATGGCCGGGGGACCGCCATGGCTACGAGACTCCTCCTCGCTCTGGCCTGGGACTGGACCGCCTTCGGCATTCGACGGCCAGTGGTGCCTTTGACATAGTTGGGTACCATTTTTACATTTTTAAGGGTACTTCAACCCAATAAGGAATATAAAGTTAAATGTTTAACTTTATCATCCCAACCATGAACTAGGTACATCTACGCACCAATTTGGCAGCCCACCCGGCAAAACTTTGACACGGACTTTGTCCTCGCAAGTCCTGTCTTCGGGCCGGCCACAGCAAGCAGAGAACTCCATTTTGCGTACCACATGTACGGGGCGGGCGTGGGGAGCTTACACTTGGAAGGCTGGGCAGCCGGAAACTGGACGCCTTTGTGGACGCGTCGGCGGGATCAGGACATTTATTGGGGCCTGAGCTTCGTCAGTCTCCCATCGGATGTTGAGGCCCTGCGCTTCGTCTCTGCCATAGGAAGCTCTTTCAACGGTTTCCTCGGTGATGTGGCCCTCGACGCCGTTGGCGTCGGGCTTCCAAGTGTGAGCATCCAGCGGCTTTCTTGCCACTTCCTGGTCGACAAGTGCCTCTGGATCGATTTGGGGGAGACTCCGTTTCATCTCGTCATGGATCATGCCGAAGCCTGGCTGGTAGCAAAGACGAACTCAACAGAATCCGAGGAGCACTTCGTGCTCCAGAGCTCATGGATCAACAGCCAAAGGGAGGCGATGTTTATGATGGATTACTGGTTGTCTGGAAGCCGGGCGTCAGTGGCGGTGGAGTGGACATCGGCTGCACCGGCTGTTGGCTGGCAGAACCTCTATCTGGACTCTGGTGATTCTGGAAACTTTTCGCAAGAAGCGATGTTCATTATTCCCGCAAGCGCTGTGGCCCTTCGAGTGTCAGCCAATGTTACCGCTGGAGACACTGTGGCCGTGCGCACTCTGCGGGCAGTGGAGACGTCGACAAGTTGGTCGGAGATGGCCTGCAGTTTCGAAGTTGACTTCTGCTCCTGGTCCAACGGCGGCTGGCAGTTCTGGCGTCGAGCATCAGGACCGACACCTTCGCTGGACACAGGCCCTGAGACGGCGTATGAGGGCAACTGGTACATCTACACGGAGTCTGACAACCAGTCTTTTCAGGACTTCCTCCTGGAAGGCTCCTTCCCACCCTCGGCCTCCGAAGACAGATACCTGCACTTCTCCTACCACATGCATGGCCACGACATCCACTCGCTGCAGCTTGGAAGTTGGAGCTGGCAAGATGGCTGGATTCAGCTTTGGTCTCGTCAGTGGCCGCAAGCCGCATCATGGGGCGTCGCTTTAGTCAGTGTGCCAGCCAACGCCACAGTGCTACGCTTTGTGGGAAGCACAGGATTGCTTGCTGATGGAAAGCGGAACGGTCATTGGACAGGCGACATTTCCTTGGACGCCATCGGCACCGGTGTGCCGACTGTGGACTTCAAGCAGCTCTCATGCAATTTCGAGTTCGATGTGTGCTTGTGGCTCAGCACAGGCAGTTCGACGTGGCAGCGCGTGAAATCGGATGGGGCAGACTGGTGGCTCGAAGCTGCAAACACGTCCGAGACCCTGCAGTTCATCCTGGAGACACTGGCAGCGTTCAACATCACGGCGGAGAAGGCTTTGATCTTCGACTATCAGCTCTTCGGCTCAAGCTCGGTCTCGTTGAAAGTGGAGCAGAGGACGCCGGAAACGGACTGGCAGAGCCTGTTCACAGAGGCGGGTGGCCGTGATGCCACGTGGCGCCCAGCCCTTCTTCGTGTCCCCGCCGGCACGGTGGCCCTCCGCGTGTCAGCCGTCGTAGCTGCAGGGGATGTCGTACGCTTGCGCTCGTTGCAAGCAGTGGATGTGGTGCCAGGTCTCTCGAGCGTACGGTGCACCTTCCAGAGAGATGATCTCTGTGGCTGGTCCTCCAGCGGATCTCCTCAGTGGCTGCGAGACTCGTCGTCTTTTTGGACTTATACCGGCATTGGGCCTCAGCGTGTGGATGGCGAGTGGTACGTACACACGCCAGCCGTGCTGCTCACAGCAGAGAACGAGAACAGTATCATTCAGTCCTCATACAGAACAAATGAGGACTTCGTCCTTTTGAGTCCGGTCTTCGGCACCTCGTCAGTAGCCAGGTATCTCTATTTTGTGTTCGTGATGTACCACCAGAATTATGGGAGCCTGCGTCTGGAAAGCTGGAGCAATAACATGTGGACAGAGCTGTGGGCGAGTGAGCAAGGTGTCACTTTCTGGTCATGGCGGCTTGTAAAGATACCGCCGGAGGCTGAGGCCTTGCGCTTCGTTGGGGTCACTGGTCTCGAAATCGCGAGTGATGTGGCCCTGGGCCAAATCAAAGCGGAGCTCCCAAATGCATTTCGCGCCGATTCACTCGATTGCAACTTCGAGTGGGATGGCTACTGTTTTTGGCATGACGCAGGGGTTGCTGCCACATGGCGGCGTACCCAAGGGCGCGCCCAAAGCGCGTGTCAGGTGACAGCTGAAAACGCACATCAGGGGGACTGGTGGCTCGAAGTTTCAGGGAATGGTTCCCAAGCATCTTTCATCTGGGAGACTGTGCCTTTTTGGGATACTGGCATGCTAACCGAGATGAAGGCCCTGGAATTTGGGTATCAGCTGGTGGGTTCGGCGTCATTGGAGGTGGAGAAGAAGACCGCAGCAGGGTGGCAGAGCCTTTTCCTACAGTCGGCGGGCGGCGACGTCACGTGGCGCACGGGCTACGCCATTGTGCCTGCAGGTGCTATGGGCATACGTTTCGTGGCTCGAACAACGGCCTTGCAGGATGTTGTGAAACTCGACGATATCTTTCTGGACAACGCCACATCCTCTGTCGCGCGATTGGAGGATGTCAGCTGTGACTTTGAGGACCCCCTGTTTTGCGGATGGTCGGGCTGGAGGGGTGACTGGCGCTGGCGCCACCAAAGCGGTCCCACGGCAGACAGAGTTCAGTTCAACACGACAGGCCCCGAGATGGCCTTCCGGGAGGACTTCTACGTTTACACCGACTTCCGAGATTCCCTCAGTGATGCAGTCTTCCAGAGTCCAAGCTTCCCGAGACTGGCCCGGGAGTGCTACCTCGAGTTCGCGTGCCATATGCTCGGGGGTGGTATTGGGGACCTGAAGCTGCAATACCTCGCAGGAGGCACTTGGTGGACCCTCTGGTCCCGAACAGGCTCCCAGGGTCCAGACTGGTTTCTGGCCAAGGTGACGCTCCCGATTGGCACGGAGATGCTGCGCTTCATTACGTCCAACACCGTGAACACCGATTCCAACATGGCCCTAGACGCACTAGTTGCCTGGCAGCCGGAATTCTCCTCACGCTTCCTGTCTCTCGCATCCGGTGGCTACCACACTTGCGCGCTCCACAAAGCCTCTGGCGAAGTGAAGTGCTGGGGCCAAGGGCACAATGGGGCTGTTGGCTATGGTCGCAATGAATCGGTGGGCACAGGCCCTGAGCAAATGGGCGCATGGCTGCCACCTGTGGACCTGGGGCAGGGTGTCTGGGTCACGCAGATAGCCTGTGGCTACCATCATACCTGCGCCGTGCTTGAAGGAAGGGGCTTGAAGTGCTGGGGATTGAATCTAGCTGGACAACTGGGCCAAGGCCACACCAGGAACATCGGGGAATCGCCAAACCAGATGGGAGAGAACCTGCCTGTGGTGAACCTGGGGAGCGATGCAGAGATCAAGCAGGTCGTCGGTGGCTTCAGTCACACCTGCGTTCTGCTTGATGGCGGGATTGTGAAGTGTTTCGGACTTGCTGCTGGTTATGGAGATCAGATCCTAGGCCTTCTTGGGATGTTGTGCATTTTCTCCTATTGGAGGGGGATCCAGTACGCGGATGTTTTTTCGACAGAGGGTTTAACGGGCCAACTTAGGCTCTTTCGTGGCGTGGGTCCGGGCCAGATGGGGGAGGACCTCCCTGCCATCCACCTCGGAACGGACTTCGACACAGTGCAGCTGACGGCAGGCGAAGCGCACACTTGTGCATTGTCCCGCCAGGGTACTGTGAAGTGCTGGGGAGTTTTCGATCACCGCCTCGGACTCACTTTCATTGGGAGAGGGGCGGAACAGATGGGCATGCAAGCTGATAGCATGGGAGACAACCTGCCTGTCCTGGATTTGGCACCCGCGGTGCAGATTGATGCCGGGTGGGCGCACACTTGCGCCTTGCTGGCGAATGGCTTCGTGCGGTGTTGGGGCTCAAACATTCTCGGGGAGCTGGGCCAGGGCGGCACAGAAAGCATGGGTGATGAGCCAGGAGAGATGGGTGACAGCCTTCCCTTCACACAGCTGGGAGATGGTGTGATGGCCGTTCGGGTTGTGACTGGCACCAAGCACGGTTGCGCTCTGCTGCAAGACGCATCGATTAAATGCTGGGGCTGGGGTGTGCACGGCCAGCTTGGCCAGGGCAGCACCGAAGCTCTTGGCGACGAGCCAGCGGAGATGGGCAATGCGCTGCGCTCCATCAACCTGGCTGACCGCAGCCAGGTAGGCCCTTAGGACATTTCTCATTTTCCCTTATTGGGTTTCCCGAGGATCATGTTCAGGAGTGTTTTTCAGAGGTGTTTAAGGGCCATCCTAGGCAGAGTGCTGGACTTGAGTGCTGGGTTTGCCCACACCTGCGTGCTGCTGGACGATGACAGCACGCGGTGCTGGGGCTCCAACGCTCAGGGCGAGTTGGGCATCGGAACGAGGACCAACGTCGGCTCGATACCGGGTCAGATGGGCGCAGCGCTGTTAAGCACAGAGCTCTTCCTTGTGATGCCGGGCACGGGGCTTGAAGGTCTCGTCTTGACGGGCAGTGGCGGTCTCCGCATCCAGCACAATGGCTCTCTTGGCCTCGTCTGCGACGACGGCTTCGATGAGGCCGCTGCGCGTATCGCCTGTCGGGATTTGGGCATGGCCGGGGGTGTTGCCTTTTCAAGCGCTGTTGAAACTGGCGATATCTTCGTAGACAACGTGAGGTGCCTGGGCAGCGAGGTAAGCCTGCGACAGTGCCGTTTCCGAGGGTGGCATTTGCACGACTGCACCCCGCAAGAAGCTGTAGGACTCCGGTGTGAGATGGATGCATGGAGCGACTACACAGTTGCTGGCCCTGCTGAGCGGCAGGACCACTCCATGGTCTGGGACCAGGAGACGCAGTCCGCGGTGATGTTTGGTGGCCATGCCTCCAGTGCTTTTCTCTACTACGCTGACCTTTGGATTTACCACTGGAATCTGAGAACCTGGACGCAGATCCTTGCTCAGAACCAAGGTCCCGGCACCAGATCAGGCCACGTGGCCGTTTGGGACGCAGTGTCAAAATCCATGGTGGTTTTCGCAGGAAAGTACCTGGGCGCCTTCTATCAGGACATCTGGCGCTTTTATCTCGAGACCAGCTTCTGGGCCCAGTTGTCTGTGACGGAAGTCCCCCCAGCCCGTGCTTACCCTTCGGCCATCTGGGATGACGAAGCACGCGCCATGATCGTGTACGCTGGGGAGAACAGCGCAGTCCTCAACGATCTCCAGCGCTTCAGCTTGGACCAAGAATCATGGACAACCTTGGCAGAGGGGCCAGGGGCTCGAAGCAGGCACACCGCCGTGTGGGATGCAATGACAAAGTCCATGCTTGTCTTTGGCGGGTGGAGTGGACAGCAGTACTTGGCCGAACTGCACCGGTATGATGCCTGGGCGAATACCTGGGAACCACTTCCTGTCCAAGGCTCAGGATTCTGGCCCAATCCTCGTGGCGGGCACTCTGCCGCTTGGGACCCCGTGTCAATGAGCATGCTTCTTTTCGGCGGCATCCAGAACACAACCTCGGCCCTCAGCTACGATGCCAGACTCTTCAACTACACCCTTCTGACCGGCAAATGGACGGAGGAGGGCCTGCAAGCCTCAGTCCCAGGTCCGAAAGGCCGCACCGGCCAGTCCGCCGTCTGGGACCGCGAGTCTCGGGGATTCATCTCTTTTGGTGGCTTCGACTCCTCCTATTTGGGAGAAACCTGGCGTTACGTGGTGAGCCAGACGCAGCCTCCTTTGCTGCTGAGGTGTCATCTGGGCCAAGAGTGCGCACCTGCTCAAAATGACAGCATATTGGCTTCGGCGACTGTAAAGCATGTTTGTTCCAATCCCCAGGCTCTAGACTGGGCCCACGACGACCCGGGCGACTTAGAAAATCACTCAGAGGCATCGCCCCTCTTCATCGAGCCAGGACACCACCGTTTCTGCGGTTGCGATGCAAACTGCAGCCATGCAGTGGACTTTCAAATTGACCTGGGCCACTTCATCGTGGAGGGGCCCTACCTCAACCAGTCCGCCCAGTGCGACCTGGGCTCCGTGTGCGTCATCTCCGAATGGCGTGGAGTGGGCATCACAGTGGACGACCGCATTCTCCTACAAGAACAGTGCAGGACCAAAGCAGCATCTGCCCATCAGCGCAGCGCCGACATCTCCTTCAACGAGTCCATGAGCTGGTTCGAGCTGCATTTGGGCTTCTTGGACCCCGAGATCGGACCCCGGGTGGTGGAGCTTTGCTGGTGCCCTGCTGGCAGGCCCTGTGCCTCCGCACCCTAAACCCTAAACCCTAAACCCTAAACCCTAAACCTTAAACCCTAAACCCTAAACCCTAAACCTGGCAGGCCCTGTGCCTCCGCAGAGGAGTTTTTGGCCACGGCGCTGCGGCTGCGCCTCGTTTGCCCTCCTGGCGAGTATGAGGTCTCGGAGGCATGCCAGGTCTGTCCGGTGGATCACTACTGTCCCGGAGCCTTGGGGACGAAATGAACCCTAAAAGGGTTTCTGGTTCATATGCCTTAATAGGAATTGAAACCTAAACCCTAAACTTTAAACCCTAAACCCCAAACCCTATAGTAGTATAGGGTTTTTGACCCCAATTTTAGGGTTCATTTGCTCCCCAAGGAGGTGAGCAGCTGAATCCCTGCCCGGCGGACAGCACGGCCCTGGCCGGCTCAAGTGAGCTCAGCGACTGCAACTGGGTTGCTGCTCAGGAACTTGAGCTAAGCCACTATCATGAGGGAACCCTATTATTTTTAAAAATCCCCATTATGTGAACTTAAGTTTAAGTTATTATAACAAGGAAACCTTATCATTTACTATGTATCCCCATTATGGTAAAACATTTCCTCAACAACAACCCAGGCAAATGCCTACTGGGGCTCTACTGGGATGCCGGCGCCTGCCAAATATGCCCTGCAGGATCGACGACCTCCGCCGTAGGAGACCTGGGAATGGGCCAAAAACATTAGGGTTTAGGGGTTTAGGGTTTAGGGTTTAAGGGTTTAAGGGTTTAAGGGTTTAAGGGTTTAAAGGTTTAAGGGTTTAAGGGTTTAAGGGTTTAAGGGTTTAAGGGTTTAAGGGTTTAAGGGTTTAGGGTTGGGGTGTTCCCCCTGATACTAACAGTCCTTAATCGAGAATATCGTGTTCCCTAGTATAATCCACACTAAGGACTGTTCGTGTAAGGGAGAACATCCCAAGTTTAGGGTTTAGGGTAAAGGGGGAGTTTGAGTGTTAAAAGATCTTGCGGATGTTAACCGAACCTCGGGATGTTCAGGCTCGGTTTAGGGTTTAGGGTTTAGGGTTTAGGGTTTAATTAGGGTGTAGGGTTTAGGGTTTCGGGTTTTAAAAAAGTTGCCCGCTGCAGGACTGCTTTGTTCAAACATCCGCCGGTTAAACTGTAAACTGGGTTCTTGATAAGGAACTTATTGTTAGCGTGCTAGGAACCTACTTGTGTGTAACAATACGGTTTCCTCATTGGCCCAGTACATGTTTGACCCTGAGGAGCTACAGCCTTGACGTCCTGCACATGCATGCCGGGCTATGTCAACAGCCGACCTGACCAGCCTTCGGCGTGTGAGCAGTGTGGCCTCGGATTCTTCTGCATGGGTGGTACGCACAAGCAGCCCTGCGCAGCCTCTCAGACCACCACCGAGGGTCCCACAGCTGGTAATCAATCCCAGTGCGTTTGCATGGCGGGCACCTTCCCTCAGGACGATGGACATTGTGTTCCCTGTGCGGTTGGCTATTTCAAGGACCGCAGTGGCAATGTGCCTTGCTCTAAGTGCGGTCCGGGAACGTTCAGCAACGCCACGGGGGCCACCAATGAATGCGAATGCAGTTATGGCTATGGTTACGAAGATGCAGAGGCTGGCTGCGCAGCCTGCCCAGCAGGTGAGTACAAAGCGAATGTGGGGAATCTCCGTTGCGACAGGTGCTCTGTTGACAAGATATCGATGGAGGCTGCTACCTCGGTGCTCGACTGCCTGTGCCGGCCGGGGACGACAGCGGAAGGTGATGGCTGCCGTGATTGCTCACCGGGTTTCTTTTGCAACAATGGCGAGGAGCTGCGCTGCACTGTGGGCTCAAATTCATCTGCTGGCTCAAGCGACGAGCTGGACTGCCTCTGCTTAGAAGGGCACTACAGCCTGCAGTCTGTCTCGGGGTTTAGCTGTGAACCGTGCCAAGCCGGGCGCTACAAGCCCACAACTGCCAATCAGCCAATCTGTCCCTCTCAATGCCCTACAAACTCCGACAGCCCAAGCGCATCCACGAGCCTGTCAAACTGCTCTTGCATAGCTGGGTTCTATGCAGAGCTTGATGAAGCAGGCTTGTTGGTACGCTGTGCCAGTTGCGTTTCCTTCACTCACCTGAGCTGCTTCGGCGGATTTTACGAGCAGACAGATCGTCACCGCCTTCCCGTCGCACGACCCGGCTATTTCCAAACGGCCCCTACAACCGCCATCAAGTGCAACGTCGTTATGGACGATGGCGTCAGCGCTTGCCTGGGAGGCGGTTCGTGTGCAGAAGGTAGTGGGGCACAGGAATGCATGGGGAAGTCTCTTTGTCACATCAGTTGGGTAACATCTTGCATCTTCAAGGGTACTTAAACCCAACAAGGAATAGACATTCAATTTTTTTATATAATGCCATGACCACCATGAAGGTATGACAATGCCTGTGCGGAAGGCTCCACTGGCTTCCTTTGTGGCGAGTGCCCGCCTGGTTGGGCGAGGAACTACTGGAAAGAGCCCTGCAGGTTCTGACCGGTTCGGATGTTCCCCTTTAATACTAAAAGCCCTTAGTATAGGGATTATGAGGGGGGTACTATCATCCCTATTTTGTTCCCCTCTATACTAACAGTCCTTAGTAGGGATTACAACAGGGGGTACTATAATCTTGATCATGGGGAACATCCCAAACCTGCAGGTTATGCATGCCAGCCAGCTTGCCACTGATCTGGTCAGTTCTTTTCGATGTCGGCACGAAGGTGGTCCTAAACTTCGTCGTCACATCTTTGGCGGCCACGGCAGCAGTCCGCGGCAGTGGCAAGCTACATGCCATAATGATCCGCATTGCTACACAGTGGTTGGCTGCCTGCTCGGTCGTCGCGACCTTGGATCTGGACCAGATGTCGCCTTTGCAAATACGGGACCTTGATGGCCCTGAAGGGGAAGCCGGCTTGTTTGCATGGCCGGTGGAGGTGACTGTCGCAATGCTGCGGTTGTTCGAGTTTCTAACGTTGACGCCTGTTCTCACCACCGTCGACCTGGATGCCCAATGCTTCTCGCAAGAGTTTTCTCAGAACCCAGCCGCACCACGCATCGCCCTCGGCATTTACTACCTCGCTCTGCCCTTGCTAGTGATGCTGGGCTCAGTCCTGCTATCATGGGCAGCCGTGCGATTGCTGGTCCCGGTGGCAAACCGAGTAGGATTTTCCTTCAGTGAGGCTGGGCGTCGGCGTCAGAAGCGGACCAAGGCTCTGAAGCGGTTGCTCGAGGGCATCCAAGTCGAGCTGCACCATGCCCAAGTAGACCTATCCTGGAAGGACCTTGAGGACTCGGGGGCACTCTTCGTCCCCCTAGCAGAGCTGGAGATTGCTGCAGCAGAGCCGGGCGCCTTCTTGCGCAGGGCGGTGGTGGACTCCCCGCCTTTGCTTCTTCGCGCCTGCGCGCTACGCGCCAAGGCCACCGGGGCCGACCTCCAGGCCGCCCTATGTATGAACATGTCATCATCTTTCTTTGCCCGGTCCTTGTCCCGGAAAACATCCTAGATGTAGCATGGTGTAGTGTGCATCGAACCCTACCCCCCTGAATCATTCCGATCTGCAGGCAACAGAACTGGATCTTCCTGTGGCTACGGGGTTGGCCACTGGAGCCTCTGACTTTGCCGGCCTGCTCGACCAAGTGCTGGCCTCCAATAATCCCCCAATCACCGACAAAGTGGTCATTCACGACCCCATCGAGGATGCTATCACTGATCACGACTTCGAACTCCAGGACAAGGCAGGCAGGGTCTAGGTCTATGGGCAGTGGGTGGCCGTTAGAAACGGCAGAGAGGACAATTTTGCGCCGTAATCATGCAGGACCCGATCGCCGAAGATCCTATCACTGATCCCGACTTCGAGATCCAGGACAGGGCACGCAGGGTCTAGGTCAATGCGCAGCGCGCGGCCGATTTGTCAAACGGCAGCAAGGATATGTTGTGCCAGAATCACGCAGGACTCGATCGCCGAGGATGCTATCACTGATCACGACTTCGAGATTCAGGACAAGGCCCAAAGGGTCCAGGTCTATGTATGGGCAGCATGCGGCCCATCTTAGCAGAGACGACACCCTGTCCCACATGGGCACCTCGCTCTTCCCAGAGTCTACAAAGCAAAAGTTAGCTGGACTTTTGCAAGACGTGCAAGCACATTGTGCGAATGCTGGGTCGGCCTTGAAGAAACCCACTACTTTTCTTGGAACAAGCAGTCTTCTGCCGAAACACGCATTTGTTTGGAATGTCTGGGTATTGCTTTGGGATACTTTTGAATTTCCAAAGGGCTTTAAAGCAACACCCAGATATCGATGACGCATCGAAGACCTTTGATTCGTTGGCAGGGTGAGATTCGGTATAATGTACGGCTGCAGTGGCAATCAGAGCAACGGCATCTCCTTCAATAGTCAAGTCATGCACCAAACAGTCCAACAAGCAGAAACCAGCCATAGGCACATTATTGCAAGACACAGGTAGGTACATCTAGCAGAGCCAGTTTTGAACATTCGAGCCTGGAGCATGAAACATGTGCCAAAAAGACAGGTTCAAGGACCCAGTATCAGTGTCAAACGAAAGCCCGACACAGCCAAGCTACTCAAAGACAAACACCGGCGACAAAGCCAGGCTTTCAAAACTCGCGGAAGAGTATGCATGAACTTCTCAAAATGGAAGCCGACGCATGGAAAACCAAAATAGCTACTTTCTGCGAAGACCCGCTTATGTCAGAAGAGGCATGTTCACCTCAGAAGCACGTCGCAACCATAGATCTGGGCATACCACAGCACTTACGGAAGGCGTGTACCATACGAATACTTTGGACCCTGCGGGAGGACCAGAAAGAGGAGCTGCCGCCGTCCCAACCAACCGAAAGCCTGGTGCGGACGTCCACAGTTGATCTGCGAGCCAGTCGGGCAGCACAGCTGGACATGGACCTTGATGTCGACGAGGCCATGGACAGCTTGGACTTTGGGCTTTTCTCGCCCAATGCTTCCTTTGGCGAGCTGCTGTATCAGTGCCTCCCCGTCGTGTGGGTGGCTGTCGTCTCACTGTGGCCTGGGCTGCTGTCCAGCTTCCTGCGCATGATCTGGTGTGTTCCCATTTGGGAGGAGGATGTGGTCAGCCGCAGCCGCCTCCGCCTCCTCCCCAATCCAGATGTAGTCTGCTGGTCCGACGAGCACTTCCCCTCCGCCGCCCTCGCTGTCTCTGGCCTCGTGGTGTGGTGTGTGGGCATCCCACTCGTCTTGGCCGCAAAGCTGAGCTTGGAGGACCGCACGTCTCCGGACAAGCACAGGCGCTACGGCTTCTTTTTCCAGGGCCTCGAGCCGCAGTACTGGTGGTGGGACATACTTGTGAAGAGGGCGGACGTCGGCTTGATGATGCTCGTCACCTACACCTCCGTCGTCCGTGAGCCGGAAGCCAAGGTACTACTCTTTCCCCTCCTCTCGGGTCTCCAGGCTTTGCTGGCTGCATCTTCGGGATACTTGGAAATGTGTTTTTTTAATTGTTGGGTACTTTCATCAAGAAATCAGCAACAATTCTAATTTTTGCTAGGGTTCCAAGTTCGGCATAGGCATGGGTCAAGCCCTACGCGAACGACCAGGCTCAGGTCCTGGACGTCGTGGATGTGATGCTGTCCACCATCCGCTTTCTGCTCTTCGGCGCAGTGGCTGCCATGCTCATTTTGAACACTGACTCCTTCACCACCCGCATGGTAGCTTACATACTCTTTTTGGTACTGCTGCTGGCGTGCATCTACTTCTTCGCCCACCTTGCTTCTCAGATGCTGCGGGATGCAGTGGTGTCTCCGCCCAAGCGAGCAAAGTCGGCGGCGATGAGACTGCTGGATGCAGCCGAACGCTTTGCCCTCAAGCTCCTCCTGCCTCTTTTTCGAGAGGAGGCCGAGGTGGAGATGCTGAGGCTCACCTGGTCTTTTGGAGCCAATTATATCAGAACCAGCAAGCGCCCTCGAAGCTTCAGACGATCATTCCGGGACATGGGCTCCAACATGCTGCTTGGCTTTCAGCAGGTGCGAGACATAGTACTTCGCACCGGGCCGCAGTTCCAGCACTTGGTGCTCTACAATGCCAACGAGGAGTTCGCGGCTTTCTGGCTACAGCAGCTGAATCAGGATGAGCTACCCGGCCCTGCAGTCATATGCTCCTTGGCAACGGCTCATGCGGGGCTTCCGGCCCTGCTCGCCCGAAATCGTATGTGCGGCTTGTGGATGCAGCAGCTGAATGCCTTGACCAGCCAAGAAGGGCCCTTCACCTGCACCCCAGCAGACTTGCAGCGGGCCATTCGGCGCATGAGCCAGATGCCACCGGAGGATGCCATGGAGTTGGTTCAACATGCCATGAGCCTTTTTGCAGAACAAGCCGTTGTTGAACAAGCCTGGGTCGAAGACTGCCTCGAACTGTGAACCGCCTTTTGGAAGATTGTTCACGGTCGTCTCATCCGAAATTCGTGCAGTCCACTTTTTTTCCGCTCCGGCTTTAGAATTTGAGTTTGCGCAGTATTGTCGTATGGAGATCGCATTTGTTGGCGTTTGCTGTTCCGCTTCAGAGAAGCTGACTAGTAGATGCATGCCTGCGTATTTAAGAGTTGATGGAGGCTGCTACCGCAAGATGCGCCAGCTCCATATTTTTTTCCCGGAAGTTATGTCATGAGGCTGGCCTCGTGTGTTCGCGAGCATTCCCCGCGTGAACATTGATCAATTTAGTTAGTTGCAGTCTCTTCACCAGACTGGAAAATCGTCTCATCAAGAGGTCAAGCAGGACGTGTGTGTGTGTGTGTGTGTGTGTGTGTCGCTTGGGATACTCCGCTTTTGAGAACGTGACATTTCCACATACTGCGCGGCAGGGGTGCCGGAAAAATCATGAGGCTGGCCTCCTTTGACAACTTTCAGGGCATTCCCCACAATCGATCATGTCTGTGAATGCTGTTCAGCCGGAATTAGTTGCAGTTCGTGCACCGGGCTTGAACATGCATTGTCTCACCAGGTGTTTTAAGCTAGCTAGTGTCATTCGAAAGCTGCAGACCTCCAATCAGTTTTTGGTGATTCTGAGAGAGCCCGTAAGTCCTAAGCCCTCGACGGACAAATTGAACGATGGCTTTTGCTGCAAGTCTGCAGCTTGTCTATGCTTGGCCGAATTCCCAGTACTTACTACTTGGGGTGGCCACGTGATTTTGGTGATCAGGATCCGCAGTGAGAGCATGCACTTGAAGGGATTGCAGCCTGGCGATGCATGCGTGGTAGACAGTTGAAACGGCGGGTCGCTGTGGATTACGACTGGTGGCTTGGGTGTCGCTTCTGTCCTAGCCTGACGTGTGCTCTCATGCGGTTGCAGGGATCGATGGACACACTTATCTCAGGATTCAGGCACTGCACCTTCGGGGTGGCCCTGTGTGTGTGTATATACATATACATAGTTTGGCACTGTGAATCTTGGGTGGTTGAGAAGTTCGAGTGCTTGACGATGGCGATTCGCTCAGGGTTCGCCTGCTCGGGTGAGTACATGGTCTCACTGCAGACTGTTCTTGAAGGATGCTGGCTGTGGGGCCTCTGGATGAATGGTGATCATTTGAAGTGATTTGTGGATGTAGTGTTGCCTGGCATCCTTGCGTCGTAGTTATCATGAGCACACTGCTTGTCGCGAATTCGCGTCTGCTTTGTGCGATTGTGAGAGTCGCAAAAGATCCGAAATCCCCTATAGTAAACACTAGGATCCTGAGTAAACCACAGAAAAAGAGATCGCTTACCTATTGAAACATGTTTGCCAGGTCCCGGCGGGTTCGCCCCAATGGCTGCCGAAAGCGCTGCGCCGGTGGCGGCCAAGCCGAAGATTGTCGCGGTACAGCATGAATTTCTAGGGTGGTGTCTTATGCCACGATCCTGTTTTTGTTCGTGTCCGGCTTCCTTTCTGCAGCTCTCATGTCTTGCAAGCAGGCTCACCTCTACCCTATTCGTATGCGGCTAGATGCCAAACTTCAGGGACTCCACTGCACCTGAATATTTTTCGTAGCATTTGTTTTTAGGGTTCCTCACTATGGTTAGGTGAAAATAGACCCCCAAACCTTATTGCCAGCTGAGGAGAGTGGGGGGGATGGGCTACAATCACAGTCCTTTTTCTTGACTGAACCCGAAGCCCGAAATTTCAAGCCACACTGCATGAAGCTGAAAGCCCTCTAACACCCTTGGGCGGAAGTCCGATGAACCCTAAATCCTAAACCCTAAACCCTAAACCCTAAACCGCACAAATCGAGAAGTGTACCAAGTCGAAACCCTAAACCCCAAATAACCCCTCCCTAAACCCTAAACCCTAAACCCTAAACCCTAAACCCTAAACCCCAAATAACCCCTCTGTGTGTGAACTACTTCCGAGGTGGATGAGTGCTGGTTGGACGGGTCTTGGATCCGGCGCAGAAAGAAGCAGCACCTCTGATAGTAGGGCTTCCAAGCAGGCGTTGCGCACTTGCACTACTAAACCCTAAACCCTAAACCCTAAACCCTAAACCCTAAACCCTAAACCCTAAACCCTAAACCCTAAACCCTAAACCCTAAACCCTAAACCCTAACGCCTGCCCATGAAGTAGCTGTCTCAGTGCCACGCGACTCCAGTCCAACCAAGAAACCACGGGTTGAGGATGCCCTGGTTCCCATGTCAGAATTCCAGGCTGTGCTTCAACAGACACTTGCTGCCTCTCTGCCCTATCACAGCTGACATTCGCACTCTTCTCACTCAATCAGCTCGTCAAGAAGAAGCTCTCACATCCATGCGGGAGGAGCTGAGTCAGACGACCCACCGAGTTGCTGAGTTGGAAGATCGACACTCCAGGGAGGTTTCAGACTTGAGGGCGGCTGTGGTTGAACTTCAGAAGCCTAGGCCGGCAGATGAGGGTTTGGCTTCCAAGGTTGCAGAGCTTCAAGGAGCGGTGCGTGAGCTGCAGAGTCCCCGGGCATCCTCTCCCGGTGCATCCTCGCCTGGTGGGTCTGGGGCCATCCCTGGCTCTGTGCTTCCAACATTTGACTTGGTTGTGGGAGGGTGGTGTGAAGGCGAAGTTCTCTCCTACATTCAGGAAAACGTCAACAAGCAAATTGATGCAGCTGGAGTGCGATGCCAGGTGGCAGCCATCAAGGTTTACGGCAAGCGGCCCAGATCTGCTAGGCTCCAATTGGCCTTTCCCAGCAGCCTCTCCCATGACAAGCGGTATGAGCAGCAGCAGGTCCTCACCAAGCTCAAGCAGCATGTATGGCAGGCCCGCGGGTGTGACAAGCCTACGTGGGTCCTCATTGACAAGCCTCCTCTGCAAAGGATTCTGGGCAGGTGCGTTGCCAGGACTTCCAACTTCCTGAGCCAGAAGTTGAGTCTGGGACAGGATGCCATGGAGGTCGCCAGTTGGAATGGTCTCAGGGCATACATCAAGGAGAAGAGGGTCATGGGATCCATCCCAGCCGAGAACCCGTTGGACCAATGCCCAACCCACTCCTACGCACGGTGGCTTGAGAGGGTGGTTTGGGTGGATCTGCGAGCCATTGCTGAGGCCACAGGGCAGCAGCCTGACGATGTCGTGGCGGCATGGGTGGCTCACTTTCACTGACCTTCGCAGGATGGCGACTACATGCTGCCCATTTTGGGCGTGAATTTGGACATACAGGGCGATGGACATCAACCCAGTGAAGATCACGTGCGGCTGCTGTCCATGGCAACGTGGAATGTGCAAGGCAAACATCTCCAAGAGATTATGCAATCACTTGATGCATGCGATTTGAGTTATGATGTTCTTGCGTTGCAGGAACTGACCTGTTTGCAGTGTGGTGATGCCCAGTTCTGCGAGACATTGCTTGACGACGGTTTTTCAGTTTGCTGGCATGCTCAGTTGCCTGGGGTTTTCCGACGAGTGGGTTTGGTGCTGGAGGCTGAGTCCAAATACCGAAAACTGGTGTTGGGCCACTCTCACATGCAGCTTGAGGTTTTGAGACCGGGATGCCCTCGCTTTGAGCTCTACATTGTTGCCCACTTTCCTCATTGCGCCAAGCCTGAGGCTGACTTCGTGTGTGCGCTACAATCCTTTGAAGAGTGTCTGGCTCCGTACACGACCTCTGCATGTCCCATGCTATTGCTTGGGGATCTCAATTACCCATTGGTTGGGGATGCATCTTCCCGGGCTGTTATGCTGGCCTGCTGCCTGAAGCGACTGTCATTGACAGTGTATTCTCACGACTCTGCGCCCACGAGGATTGGGGGAACGAGACGCCTTGATCACATTGCTGTCAACTGGTGCTTGGCTTCTAGTTGGGCGCTTCAAGAGGTACAGGATTGCACTGTTCCCTTACGGCCGCCATCATACCGGGACTCGGATGCCGTTAAGCAGCTCATTCAGGCACGGAGGATGACGGTGGACCCATGTGTCCGCAAGCATCTCAGTCTGCGCATCTTCCAGACTCGCGCTCAGGATCGTTGTCAGTGGAGGCGACGGATGCTAGACAAGGCGGCTCAAGGTGATTGGGGTGCGAGACGGGCCATCTTGCGGGGCGCCAAGAAGCCCGCAGTCTTTGCCCCGTTGGTGCGCGAGCAGGGTGGCAGGGACGAGGCTGTGCGGGCTTTGCGGGCCCACTACCATGCCAAGCTCGGGGTTGCAGCTTCTGTTGAGTGCGACCATTCCAGCGTGTTTCAAACACTCCCGTGGGTAGCCCATGCAGATCAAGTCGAGAATGAAGCCGATTTGAGTGGTCAAGAGGTCTGTGAGCATCTTTTCAAGATGAAGTCTGGGACCACGACGGGAATGAGTGGTGTCTCCACCGACTTCTTAAAGGCGGCCTGCGGGTGTGACGCAGGCCTCCATGTGGTTCGATCTGTGCTGCAGGACATCCTCGACGACCCCGACTGCTTTGAGCAGGGTGACTTGTTTGAGGGGCTTGCAGTTCTCATGCCTAAGAAGAAAGTGGTCACTACGGTCAGGGAGACCCGGCCCATCGTCTTGGGCGACGTGATCGCCAAGCTGCTGGGAAGAGTGTGTATGGCTCGATTCTTGCAGTATTGGCCGCCGCCGCCTTGCCTGTTTGGGGGCCGGCGCGGTGTGTCTGTATAGGCACGGTCAAGGCCTGCTTGTCCAAGATTTCAGTTTTCCAATCGAGCGAAGTTGTCATAAAACTGGATCTATCTGGTGCTTATGATTCGTTGGACTTGGCGATGGTGGCACGCTTCTTGGCGAGGTTCAGGCATGAAACGACCCACAAATCATCACGCTTCGTCTGGAGCTTGCTCACCAAGAACCGCTTGACCTTTGCTGCGCTGCTGTTGTCAGGGGCACTGCTCAGGGGGCCACTCACAGCCCGTCACTGTTTTCGCATATTGTCTGCCAGATCATGCGCGACTTGCAGGAGCAGTGGGTTGCTGCAGGCCATGTGCCGCCGTTTGGCAAGCATGATCTCAAGCTGTGGGCTGTCTGGTTCGTGGATGATGCGCTCTGCTTTTTCCGTTCGCTCTCCCAAGCTGCTACGTTGCTGCCACAACTTCTCGATGCTCTCCGTTGCGCCGGCCTGAGCATTGACATTCACAAATGCGCGCTGCTCTCCTTGTCGACCGTGCGCGGCCTGCCAGTGGGGCTGCGCGGCCTGCCGCAGGTGGACCACGTTAAGTTTCTTGGTGCAGTTTTGTCCCTATCGGGAACGGATGAGCCGCTGGTGTCTTCTTTGCTGTCGCGCACTTCAGCTGCCTTCATGCAGAATCGGCCGCTGCTGGTGTCTGCTGCCTCCAGCATCCCTCAGAAGCTTGCGCTGCACCACGCTTTGGTCATGTCAACAGTGCGCTGGTTGATAGGCTGTGTAAGCCCTTCTGCTGACCTTCTCCGCCAAGTGAGGGTGCATGGGGTCACGATGATGATTTTGATCCTAGGCTTGACTTGCCATCAAGAGTGGTGTGATGTTCGAATGCTGACGGAGGTGAGACATATTGCTAAGTGCTGGTGCAGGGCCTGGTATGGTTGTCTGCTCGACGCGTACGTCCTCTCACAAGGTTGGGCGTGGCTTGGTCATGCTCTCCGGCATCAGCATGCTCCTCTTCTGCGCATGGTTGTAGCTTGCGAAGATTCCTTCATGGCTTGTCAGCGAGAAGGGGGGCGACGAGCACGAACTGGCCCTGACAACTCCTCCTGGCGCCGGCATGCCCGGTGGTTGGCGGCTCAAGGCTTAGACATGCAGGAGGTTGCGCAAGACCGAGTTGCCTGGCGAGGCCTGGCAGAGGGTTGGCTCACGCACTGGGCAGTGGAGAGATCCGCGGCGGGGACCAACATTCTGCAGGTGGACGAGCAGTGCCAGTCGTGGAGTAGGAGATGTCTTCTAGGGGTTGCTGCACGGTCAAAGCCTGTGTTTGCCTGCATTGGTGGCCGCTGCTATACCTTGGCATATCATCACAGGGTGCGCGGCTGGGTGGAGCACGAATCTGAGTGGCCTTGTCCTGGGGCTGGCACGCTCTTGGGTCGGCTGAAAGATCTCGTAGCAACGGAGCTCAAAGTTGTGCATGTCCGCCTTTTCTTGCACTTTCATGTCGAGATTGAGTTGGAGTGGCCCACTGCCTTTCGACCGCTTTGGAGCGGGGAGATGCATGTAGTGGTCGAGTGGAGCCGGCTTCCTGCCAGCTGGCTGTATTTGATGCCGGAGGCCTTTGCGCGAGCGCGCGTGTGATGTGATTTGTCATTCGAGGTTTCTTAGCTTGAGTGAGGCTTCACTGAGGCTAGCCTGAAATGTTGGCATGGCCCTCAGAGTTGCTCACCTTTTGCATCGGCAGGCCTGGGAGGGTTTTGCGGTTTCGGCCTCGGGGGTTCGGGTTCGTGGTCTTGTTTGGGTCGGGGTTGGTGTTTTGGGGCTTTGTGGTTTGGGTTGTGGGGTTCTGGGTTTTTTTTTGGGGTGCTGGGGTTTTGGTGTCCTGGGCTTGCGGTGCAGACTCGTGTTTCACGTTGGCGCCCGATATTCGCTCTTTGGAGATGGTGCTGCAGAAACCCTAAACCCTAAACCCTTGATAGCGATGTTGGCTTTCATAGGAGGGAAATAGCATGCAGAACGGTTTGGTCCGGTAGTGGACCCCCCTTTTTCCGACACAGACGTCTCATCGACATCACCCTGCCTTGCGGTTCGGCCCGCTATGCCGGAGCGAAAAAAAACCCTAAACCCTAAACCCTAAACCCTAAGCCCTAAGCCCTAAACCCTAAACCCAAAACCCAAAACCCTAAACCCAAAACCCTAAACCCTAAACCCTAAACCCTAAACCCTAAACCCTAAACCCTACGCTCGTCCATCCGTGTCTGGGCTTGCAGCTTCACGGGAGCTGCCGCGGGCCGCGGCGATTCGAGGCAAGCTTTCTGCATTCAGCTGGCGCTGTCACGGCACGGTGAGCCTTTCACAGGTATATAAATCCCTTACAAAGCCAGAACCCCAAACCTACCCAAGCTCACCCTAAACCCCAAACCCAAAACCCTAAACCCGAAACCCTAAACCCTAAACCCTAAACCCCAAAACCCTAAACCCTAAACCCTCTGCCAAGCTGCGAGCCCTCGAGGCCCGTGGGCAGGCATGGCGCCTGGAACTTCGCACCTCGGCTGCAAAGGCTTACCCTTCTGCACCCGACATATACAGATAAATATGTAAATAAATAAATAAAATAAGTAAGTATATATATATATATTTATTTATTTATACATGTATACATACAGATATACATGCGCACATGTATTTTCGGTTATGCCCTAAGTTATTAGAAGCCCGCCTGATGTTTTTCTTTCTTTTTTTGTTTTCAGTTTTTTGTTTTGTTTTTTCGTGGCCGTGTTGTCGACCAGAAGGAACGGAGGTGTTGGGATTCGGGAGGCCCCCAAATATGGCCACTTTTTGGGTGCCCTATGCAGGTTTGGTACCAGGGCCTCCGTCTCCAGGGCCCTATCCTGCATTTGTCACCCAGACCTCGCACTGTGGACGTCAATTCAGCTATGCAGGTGGCAAAAAAGCCCTAAGCCCTGAATCGCCAAAGAAAACTCTGGTTCAAGAATACCACACTGACATTCTTGACTTTGTGTACGAAACAGCAAGCAGTCCCATTGTGCAACTCTTTAGGGCGACGCATCTGGATGTCGGCAGTGTTCTTCTACGACTGCAATGTCGTCTTGGACAAGTAGTAGTACTTGCGTAAACAGACTTTCGCAAGAATACGTCTTGATGAATAGAGCTCTAAACAAAAGAAGTGACATTTTACGAATATTGCATGAATAAAAGCCTGACAATATAGATCGAAAAGTGACAGAGTTAGTCGACAATTAATTATACAGGGAGCCATCCAAGCAATGACAACAAGCACAGTAGCCCTGCTACCATGAGTGTGGTTGTGCAGAAGGATGTTTTCTGCAAGATGTGGTGCCCGTCGTTTTGGACCGGAAACGACTCCCCACTGAAAACAGAAGTCTGTGCGCCTGTGGGCAAGGGGGGGGCGCAACCCCAATCCCTAAACCCTGGCCCTGAACCCCCAGCTGGTCTGCTTGGCGGGGCAAAAGACCCTCTTACACATGTGTTGATTTAGCCCTTTTGTACACGTTTTGTTTGTGTTTTGTGCATTTTTTATGCACGGGCGAATAGGGTCAACGCTCGGGGGAGAATAAGGTCAACGCCTGGCAGAATAATGAAAACGCTTGGGAGGATGCTTAGGCGAGTAAGGTCACTTTAGGTCTAAGGATCGTTGCATGAGGCCTTATGAATATGGTCCCTTACCTTCTCTGAAGGGTTCGGAAGGCATGGTATAGGGTATATGATATATAAGTGGCATGTAAGGTCTACTAGTTGCTTAAGAACCCCCCAAAAACGATTCTGCCTTATAAGGGCAACGTAGGGAGGATCAGCATGTTTTTTTTTTTTGGGGGGGGGTTCTTAATTAAAGGGTAGTTTTAACATAATTAGGATTAGGGGCATCCTTCCGGGTCTGAGAGGCTCCTCCGCCGTCCGCAAGCCTGTACAGGGGTTTTAGGGTTTAGGGTTTGGGGTTTAGGGTTTAGGGTTACAGGGTTACAGGGTTCGTTTGGTAGCGTTTTTTTTCCTGGCAGTTTAGGTTTAGTGCTTAGGGCTTAGGGTTTAGGGGGGTCTCTACACCTTGTTTTTTTTTTGGACAGCGAAGAGGCCCAAAACTTGGGCCAATGGTGTTGGAACATCTTTCTGCCTCTGACCCAGGATTGATGCGAAGAGGCCGGTTGGAGTCTTTTGATTTGGGGAGGTTTGCCAAAACCCTCAAAGCCCAAGACCCAACACATCCCAAAGCCCTAAGCCCTAAACCTATTTGGAGGTTTTCGATTTGAAAGTCGACTGTAAGACATGTTGGGCACATAAGGGTATACCTCCTATTCTGGGAAATGCCCAAGTTTGGATGCATGTCCCTAAACCCTAAACCCTAAATCCGAAACCCTAAACCCTAAACCCATGTGGAGGTCCTTTCCTAAACCCTAAACCTATTTTGGGAAGTGCCCAAATTTGCCGCGTGAGTCGAAGGCCAGCCTGCAACGAAAAGGTCGAGGTTTGGGTCAGACAAAGACTCTTGGAGGCGGCATGCATTTAGGGTTTAGGGTTTAGGGTTTAGGGTTTAGGGTTTAGGGTTTAGGGTTTAGGGTTTAGGGTTTAGGGTCAGCTCAGAGCCTGGGAACAAAAAAGGGTTTAGGGTTTAGGGTTTTTGTGGTAGTTGATCAAACATACCTGCTCCCAAAGTTTACCCTACGTTACCCTTGAATCGAAAGTCCGTGAGAACCCTGAATAGTTTCCCAAGGAGGACCTGTGGATCAACTCCCCCCCGTATGGTTTTAGGGCACGCCAGCTTGTAGCCTTCCCTGAGCACCGCGTGTACTCCAAGGGTCCAACATGCTTTGGCACTGCACTGCAATGACTTCAAAACGCTTCTTACCCTACACCCTAAACCCTAAACTCTAAACCCTAAACGCTAAACCCTAAACCCTAAAACCAAAACTCTATACCCTAAACTCTAAACCCTAAACTCTATACCCTAAACCCTAAACCCTAAACCCTTCTGTTCGATGCTGGGTTCGATTGGGTGTTTGAAGAGTTGAGAAGACTGCAGATCGAGAGGCCCTGTGCCTTGACTGTGCGCGAGTGTGAGAGTACATGGGGCCCTAACATTGTCCCTTACCTCCTTTAAAGGGTTCTGAAGCATGGGCCCTTGGGTTGTATAGGGTATGTCGGGAATATATGAGGGGTCTCCTCTTACGGCCTAACCCCTAACCCCTAAACCCTAAACCCTAAACGTTAAACCCTAAACCCTAAACCTCTCAGATATAGGGGGAATCGGTGAGCTAACCCGCTGGCTTTTGGGTTTGGGAGTAGACGCGCAATATGCCTCAGGCCCACAAGCAGAAAGTCGCAAGGCCTGGGAACCTCAGGGTTTAGTGTTTAGGGTTAGGGTTTAGGGTTTAGGGTTTAGGGTTTAGGGTTTAGGGTTTAGGGTTTAGGGTTTAGGGTTTAGGGTTTAGGGTTTAGGGTTCAGGGTTTAGGGTTTAGGGTTTAGGGTTTGAGTTTAGGATTTAGGGTTTAGGGTTTAGGGTTTGAGGTTTAGGGTTTAACGTTTCCGGTTCAGTTGTGTCTGCTTCCTTTCTCGCGGGCGCCTGATTAGCCAGCAGTTCTTGACGGGGATGCCCACGTCCCTGCGAGCCCCGATGCTAGAAGGGCGCTGTGTGCATGAGGTCGCGCTCCCTGATCAACAACCAGTGGTCTGTGCGCCAGGGCCTCGGGTCAGAAGAAACCCTAAACCTAAACCCTAAACCCTACAAGCTTAGAGCGGGGCGAAAGCTGCCCTTCAACATCTGCAACTGTCGATGACATGAAAACAATTGCTGCAGCGTTAGAGGACCTTTAGTAGAATTGGCCGAAACAGTTATCGGCATCGATGCTGAAAGGCATAGGGTTTAGGGTTTAGGGTTTAGGGTTTAGGGTTGAGGGTTTCGGTTGGGCATGAAGGCGAAGAGACAAAGTTGCAGCCCACGCGCTTCCGCAACGCGAAGAAGGAGCAGATAGCTGAGGACCTCCGAATCCCGTAAACCCTAAACCCTAACCCTAAACCCTAAACCCCAAACCCCAAACCCTAAACCCTAAACCCTAAACTGGACAGTGACATTCGGCCAACGTGCCCAAAATCGCCGTGCCTTTGCGCAGGAACGCTACTCCAGCATTGAGAAGGAGAACCGCCGCCTGCTCACGCGGATGCAGGAGGGACCTGGGATTGGTTTAGGGTTTAGGGTTTAGGGTTTAGGGTTTAGGGTTTAGGGAAAAGTATGTCCTGAGGCCATGTCCCAGGGTGCCAAAGAACCAAAGGTGTCGCAAAAGCCAAAGCTCCCAGCTATGCGGTGCTTATCTTTTGCAAATCTCTGGGTTTAGGGTTTAGGGTTTAGGGTTTAGGGCTTAGGTCACAAAGCGACTTGAATTAAAAGGCGTGCGGGGGGGTTGCGAGGGGGAAGGGGGGTTGAGAATCGAAGCTCTACACCATCAAAACCGACTCACCCCCACACACATAAGATGTATATATATATACACATATGTATATGCGTATGTATATACATATGCATATAAACACATGTTCGCAGCATTTTGAGTCGCATGCAGGCCGACTGGCCTTGCCGTCATTGCCACCTTCAACCCTAAACTAGACCCCGAAGACAGCGAGTCATGTAGCTGTCTAGCTTTCACCCCCCCCCATCTTAAAGTCCAATCTGACGCCCAATGCCACACGCTAGGAGATCGAGCGCAAGGGCTCGCAGAAGGCTGTCGCAAGCCTGGTCCTAGGCCTGGGCTTGGTTGCGGAGAGTCGCAGCGTTCAACTTGATTTGAAGTTGTCTCGTCGTCAGAGGCGCGACGGGCTCAACTACCACTGCGTCGGGGACTGTGCAGAGCCAGCACACAAAAAGGTGGAATGTGACTGCAGGACCATAGGATATAAGGACATGTGTGTGTATGTGTGTATGTCCCTCTCTCTCTGTTTGACGTCAGTTGAGATGAAGAATTTGTCGATGGCCGATAAGGTTCGGATGCCTGTAGAGCCAGCCCTGTTTCTTGTGCAAATGCCGAGCCTGCGACGTACCGCAGCTTGCGCACTGATTCCTGCCATTTGTGTGCTCGACTTCGTCCTCCGTGATGTGGCCAATGGCACCTACACTGCCTGGGTTGGAGGCCAGGCAGAGGTGAAAAGGCCGATGGTCAGCGGCGTGGCCACTTGGGCCCAGTCTTCAGAACTGGCTGCGCAAACCCGTTACGTGCCTGGCCGGCGCTTGGCCGGGAAGCGCCGGGACAGCCGCCGGCCCTATGTGCCTGAAGCGAACAACCGCCGCAAGATTGCTTGGTTGCTGATCCTTTCAGGCCTTGCCGGGTACCAGGCGCCCGCGTTTGTTGAAAGATGTTGAAAGCCACGTTTTGCACGAGAATGGGTGCGTTGGATCACGTTGGACTTGAGGGGGCTCTGTGGCTCAGATGATGTGCTTACTTTAGTTGTAGGCCCTGAACCCTAAACCCTAAACCCTAAACCCTAAACCCTAAACCCTAAACCCTAAACCCTAAACCCTAAACCCTAAACCCTAAACCCTAAACCCTAAACCCACAACATCTCTGTGGATTCCGGCGAAAGCGAGTTTAATCATGGACAACACTGGCACAGTCCAAACCTTCAGGTAAAAGTGTTTGAAGTTCAACACATTCACTCATGGCACGCTCGAGTTAGGGGCCCGAAACATCCCGAAACCACGTAACATAAGGATCCTATTGGGGTATAAGGGCCCCTAGCAGGGGCATTCCGGAAAAAAACCACTGTTTGTAGGATCCTTATGTTTATGTGGTTTTTTTTGGGGACCCTATTCAAGTGTCCAGCATTGACTCTGTTGACCTGAAAGGCCGGGAGCGGTTTCTTGGAAGAGCGTTACGAGTCCAATTCGGCTCCAGAGTTTGCCTACTCCTCTCCGGTGATTCAGCAAGGACTTCTAGGGTTCTTAAGGGGAGGGGGGGGGGGTTCAAGGGGCTATGTAACCTTCCCTAGGTACCTACCCCCCTTGAACACCCCCCCCCCCTCTCTGCCTTAAGCCCTAACCCTAAACCCTAAACCCTAAACTCTAAGAGGATGTGTGCTGATGGCGCGGCCCGGTGATACCTTCATCGACCACCAGCAGTACTTCCACAAGTCCGCTATTCTCGTCCTCAATCATGACGATGAGTTCGATAGAGGCATGATTCGGAATCTTCCCCTTGTTCAACGAGTCCTGAACAGGGATTCTAGTACCCCCCCCCCCCCCTCAAAATAAGAAGACCTGTGGCTGATTCTTAGTATAGGGGGGGAACATCCCGAGGCATCATCGTCAACCGCCCCTCGGGTTTCAACACCCGTCAGCTCGGCTTGCCTGGCCCCGCATGGAACATCTGGTTCGGTGGCGACTGTGAGGGCCTCCGCGCACCCCACTATACACGGGTCAAGACCTTCTGCTTGCACGTGTCAGCTGAGTTTGCAGAGATGTCCAGGGAGGTTGAGAAGGGTGTGTACTTGATCCGCTTCGACGAAGCGCAAGATCTAGTCAAGCAGGGCCGTGCGACGCCTGACGACTTCATGCTGTCCTCCTGCGGAGCTAGCTTACCAATTTTGGGTCATTATCCTAGAACTATGAAGGGACCACAAGGAAACACTAGTAGTAATTATTCCGACCCCTATAGTTTGTGATTGGTCGGTTCGTGCTATAGTCTTCGGGCCCGTGCCCACACTTTAGCTGCGTAGCCCCACATACCGTGACGAAGATGGTTCGTTGCTGTAATGTAGCAGGCTAAGCTTGGGTTCAAAGTGTTGGATCACAGGTTCTTCGGCTACTGTGGCTGGACACGCAATCAGCTTCAAAGAGAACTTGACGCAGGGGTCTGGAAAATGGTATCTTGGATCTGATGTTGCGTCGTCTGTTGCTTTCCCTAAGCCCTAAACCCTAAACCCTAAACCCTAAACATCCCTAAACCCTAAACCCTAAACCCTAAACAAAGAACAAGTGAGCATGGACATGTCTGGAAAGGCCAGCATTGACAGCCACATCGTCGTGCGGGAGCTTCGGGAAGAGTCCAAAGAGTTCCTTGGGGACCAAATGGGCCCAAAAATTGGGGTCCTATGCCCTAGACTACTCTAAATCCCCATTAAGGTATATTTATATGAACCACCTATACTACTCTAAATTCCCATTAAGGCATATTTATAATCAGCCATAAAACCCTTTTCGATTTCATGTCGTCCCCAAGGTTGAGAGCTTTGCCGGAGATTGGACTCGACGATGGCATCTCGCTCTGGCGCCATTTGCCTCTCGCCTAAACCCTAAACCCTAAACCCTAAACCCTAAACCCTAAACCCTAAACCCTAAACCCGAAACCCGAAACCCGAAACCCTAAACCCTAAACCCTAAACCCTAAACCCCAAATAGTAGGATCCCCTTGTAATAAGGACCCCAAATAAGGTGGGGACCCCGAAGATCGTAAACCCCCCATATAAGAATGGCCTGACCAACCTTGCCCCAACTCCTGGGTGTAGAGTTGTGTCTGCCTGTAAGGGGGTGGGTAGGTGGTTTTTCTGGATGGTATATCGGCTGCTCCAAGGTATTCGCGCGTGGATGCGGATATGCCGCAGAAAGATCCGCGAGAAATGAGCATGCTGGGCATTGATGCGGTGGAGGGCGATGCTTTCGCCGATGCCATGCTTCGTCAGTGGTTGATTCAGAATCTGACACCCCCATGAAGAGGACCCGCATTTCCCGCAGTTGAGAGTGGTTGTAAAGCAGGTTTGGCCTGCACTAGCCCGAATCTTCCGCAGCTGTCACATGAAGGGCGACTCTGTACATGTCATAACTTGCAGCATAAGACTGCCAAGCCTCGTGACCGTTTCTGTGCATGCCTTGTACATTACAGTCCTTCGAACTAGCTTGTAGCATCGCTTTGATCTTCGTCTTGTGGTGAACGCGCAATTATGACGTAGAGGCGGCCGGACTACCCTCGTGTAGGAGGTAGTCCAGGCAAAGGCCCGGAGATGAACTCCGGAGGTGCTGGAAGTTTCAAAGAGCGCTGCAGTAGGGCTCGCAGGGAGTTGCCACATCGTGAGACGACCACTACAGACTACCATGACTCCTACTCGTACTGCCACTAGAAAGCTGCTACCAAGCTACTACTAAGCTACAATTAAGCTACTGCAACAGCAACAGCAACAACAGCGACAGCGACGACGACGACGACGACGACGACCACGACGACCACGACGACGACCACGACGACGACGACGACGACGACGACGACGACGACGACGACGACGACGACGACGACGACGACGACGACGACGACGACTGCTACTTAGGACCCCGTCTGCAATCGAAGGCCCATTGCTGAATTTCTTGTCGGGCTCTTCGGGTACCAGCAACAAGCTCGCATCCCGTCATGCCGTTCATATTGCACAATATCATGTTACACTTAGCATCCATTTCAAAGGCATCGTTTTGCAACAATCAGAAGATTTTTTGCAGTCAGCATGGTTCGCTACCTTGCTCAGATCTAAAGGGACAGACCCAAGGACCAGCCCTAAACACAAAACCCTTACACCCTAACCCCTACCCTCCACCCTCTCCGAAAGTCTAAACCCTGAACCATTGAACCCCGCTGTGCTGTGGCTAGTTAACTAACAGGGAAGGAGCGCCCCAAACCCCCTGTGAACCTAAACCCTAAGGAACCTTGAAAAAAAAAACCTAAACCCTAAACCCTAAACCCTAAACCCTAAGCCCTAAATCCTAAACCCTAAACCCTAAACCCACCGGTCCTCAGGCGCCCCGCAAGCCTGGGCCCGGCTGGATCCAGAGTCGGGCGCACAGCACTCCCATAGCCCTGAGTTGAGGAATAGGGTTTAGGGTTTAGGGTTTAGGGTTTAGGGGTTTAGGGGTTTAGGTTGGGGCGGGGCTCTACCATCATTTGCAGGCCTCTACTATAACAGAAATGCTCGCCGGTAACGGGGCTTGTAACGGAAACTGTAACGGAAAGGAGCGGAGCTGTAACGGATTAGTCGCGGAGCTGTAACGGAGCCATATCGGAAGGCTGCAACGGAGCGCTATACCGGCTGTAGCGATGCTGTAACGGAGCCGTAGCAGAAGCAGCAGCGTGATAACGGACCTGTAACGGAGCTGTACAACTGAGCTGTAACGGGAGCTGTAGCAGAGCTGTAATGGAGGTGCAAAGGAGTTGTAACGGAGCTGCATAACTGAGCTGTAACGGAAGCTGTAACGGAGCTGTAGCGGAGGTGCATCGGAGCTGTACTGCAGCTGTAACGGAGCTGTAACGGAAGCTGTAACGGAAGCTGTGACGGAGCTGTACCGGAGCTGTAACGGAAGCTGTAAAGGAGCTGTAACGGAGGTGCATCGGAGCTGTAGCGGAGCTGTAACGGAGGTGCATCGGAGCTGTAACGGAGCTGCAATGGAGTTGTAACGGAAGCTGTAATGGAGGTGTAATGGAGGTGTAACGGAGGTGCAACGGAGCTGTAATGGAGCTCTAGTGGAAGCTGTAGCGGAGATGCAACGGAGCTGTAACGGAACTGTAGCAGGTGCTGTAACGGAGCTGTAACGGAGGGCCCACGGTGGGTAGCGCAAATCCCATAGTAAATGATGGTAGAGCCCACCCCCAAGGTTTAGGGGTTTAGGGGTTTAGGGGTTTAGGGGTTTAGGGGTTTAGGGGTTTAGGGGTTTAGGGGTTTAGGGGTTTAGGGGTTTAGGGGTTTAGGGGCAAAAAGGGTTTTAAGGGTTTAGGGTTTTAGGGTTTTAGGTTTTAGGGTTTTAGGGTTTAGGGTTTAGGGTTTTGGGGTTTTAGGGTTTTAAGGTTTAGGGTTTAGGGTTTTAGGGTTAAGGGTTTTAGGGTTTAGGGTTTTAGGGTTTAGGGTTTAGGGTTTAGGGTTTTAGGGTTTAGGGTTTAGGGTTTAGGGGTTTTAGGGTTTTAGGGTTTTAGGGTTTAGGGTTTAGGGGTTTTAGGGTTTAGGGCTTAGGGCTTAGGGCTTAGTTTTTTTTTGCAGCGTTTGGGTTTTAGGGTTGTAGGTTCTGGAAGACCTGGTTGCAAAAACAGTTAAGGAAATCTTCCTTAGATCGGCATCCCTGCGACAGGAACTTTAGGGCATTCCTCAATGAGGGGGCATTGGAGTCTCTGACTTTGGGAATCAGCAAGATCAGGCAGGCAGAGCAAGCATCACTCGGCAACATCTCTTCTCTGCTTTTCCCGAGACCCTAAACCCTAAACCCTAAACCCTAAACCCTAAACCCTAAACCCCTGGTGCTTCCCTAGACCCTAAACCCTAAACCCTTGGTGCTTCCTGTGCCTTGTCCTGGCTTCGACCTTCACGATTAGCTTCTGTGCTGCAGCCGATCGTCCAGTAGGGCCACTAGGGCCAGTAGGGTTTGGGGTTTAGGGATTAGGGTTTGCCGGTAGCCTCTAAAGTCCGTTGCGCAAAAAAAGGGTTTAGGGTTTAGGGTTCAGGGCTTTCCCTTACAAGGCTTGCTCGTGGTGCCCAGAGACTTAAAAAGTCCTTCTCGAGTCCCGACATTTGTTTCCCTGCAGAGTGGCTGGTCCGCTGGGCGGGCGGCAAATAAAATCATCACCATCATCATCATCATCGTCATCATCAGCAAGCTACCAATACGCTCAAAATAACACAAAGCATAACAAGAATGACAAGAATAAGTGTAAGCAACTAAACGGTTAAGAGTTTAGGGTTGAGGGTCTGCATGCGGGCAGCTATTCGATGCGCCGCCTGCAGCCATGGTGGCGCTTGTCATTTCGGCGGCATGGCCTGATGAGGATGCTTCTGGGTAGCAGTTTGGACAGTTTCGTGCTGCGCATTTAGGGTTTAGGGTTTAGGGTTTAGGGTTTAGGGTTTAGGGGACAAGTGAGACTAGTTTCCCAATCTTGGTGTTTAAGGCCTCGTATCATCAAGCCGCATCTTCATGAAGGATGAGGGTTAAACTGCGACCTTGACGAGGCGAGGCTATGACCACTCTCAGTGTCTTTGCATATTGGGTTCCCTCTTAATGCTTCCTGTGCGTGATGGCACGAGTACGTGGAGGTTTCATGTCGCGAACATGAGCAGATGCCTGCCTCACCCGGCAATCCAGCATCTCGGCTAGCAAGTTCTAGTGGCAGGTCTACAGTCTGAACCCTACACGTCAACCAAAAACCCCGAAGCCAAGAACCCTAAACCCTAAACCCTAAACCCTAAAGTGCATCTGCAAGAGAGGCATGGGGGGAGTCCGTCATGTCCGTCGGGCTCGCGGATGACTCGGCGTGGGCCTCAGACCGGGCTTGGATCCTCAAAGCTTGAATGGGTTTAGGGTTTAGCGTTTAGGGTTTAGGGTTTAGGGTTGAGGGTTTAGGGTTTAGGGCTTAGGGTTTGCGATATGTGTGTGTGCGTGTGTGTGCGCGCGCGCGTGCGCGGCGGCTGTGTCCCCAGGGCGCCTCGCAGCGCAAAAGGGTATGGCTCAAAAACATAGGCTCCGCATGGACGTTGTTGCTTGATGTATACGGGAAGTGCCTAGGACATGGATGTTACGCCTCATAGAAGATGACCTGCATCATGTAAAGTGAGGTGGAGGCTTTGTATGTCGATGGGTCATGCAACTCCCTCCATGCAAGTAAGTTCGACATCGAAGTCGTTGAATAAGAGCAGAACCAAACTCCAGTTGAAAGTTGTACCAGAGCCATACCGAATCGAGCTGCAGGGATGCTGGAAAGCGACGATCCATTCAACTTGCGACGGTTTGCAGATCAGCAGAGGAAGTACTTTGACACCGCCTTACAGGAGCTGCGCGACGGGCAGAAGAAGAGCCACTGGATGTGGTACATCTTCCCCACACCGCCGTTTGTTCAGAACGGAGCCGAGTGCGGAAGCCCGACCAACAAGTTTTACGCGATCCGGACGGACGAGGAAGCAGCTGCATATCTGAGCTTTGATGAAGATGGGGTATGCTTGCGCAAGAACTACATGGAGATGGTGCAGGCGGTCCTTCAGCAACTCCGCATGGGTACGGCAGCTCTTGATCTCATGGGGGAAGCCGATGAGCCAAAGCTTCGAAGATCGCTGCAGTTCTTTGGCCGTGTAGCCAAGCAGAACAAAGATCGAGAGTTGCAAGAGGCTTGTGACGAAGCATTGCTGCTGATGGGCAACAACGGCTTCTACTGTGGATCGTGTGCGCTCTGCATCGTGCAGTGAACTTGCCTTCGACGCCGCCACGGCATGTCTGGCATGATTAGTTCGCCCAGCCACCTCGGCCAAATGGCACTTTGCCGCTGGGCAGTAGCAGTGTTGACTAGGTAGGCCCTTGGCCCTTGGGACACGTCATGTTTTCCCTTCTTGGGTTTGGAAGAGGTAGATCATATTCAGGAATCTTTTTCAGAGGGTTTCTTACGGGCCATCCTGGTTCCAGATCGCAGCTCGGCTGTTGCGGCCGAATGGGTGGCACAGCTGATTTTCTCTGCGTCGTACAAAAGCACCTGGCGCCGGATGCTGAAAGCCGAGAAAACAGCCGGGGCTCACGGGTCACGCTGTCATGTTGCCCCTGGGGCTTGCTGCCTGGACTTTGCATCTCTTTCCCTGACTTCTGCTGCTTGCTTGTGATGTTCGCACGCGGGTGTGTGGGCCAAGGCAGAGACGGCGATCCTTGGTGCCGGCCGTTGCGACTGACACCCTGCGGACACCCTGCTGCAAGAATTGAAGGCCTTAGCATGGGATCCAAAGCCCTAAGCCCTACAAACCCTGATTTTCGCACAGAGTGGTGCGTGCAGCCACGCGGGCGCGCCAAAACAACCTCTGAACCCTGACGCTCCCTGCCTTGCAGCCGGTTGCCCGACAGAAGTTGGGTCAAGCCGAGGCTTGAAGGGGTGGTAAGAGATTGCCGGAAAGGGCCCCTGAAGAGCAAGAACCATGGTTATTGCAATGCTAGCCCTGGCTCAGGTGACCTTCACGTGCCGGAAACGCGCGCTGCACGACTTTGTGCAGCACCTGCTTCTCGAGGCTCAAAACTGTAGTCGTGGTGCCACAGAGGGCCAGCGAGTCCTTGAACACAGCCTAGTGCTTCGGTGCTGGGTTGCGTGACTTTGCATTCGTAGAAAGACCCGAACACCCAAACCTTCAGCCCATAGGAAGACAAATTGCAACCCTTGGAATCCGCCAGCTCACGCGGCCTTTTGAGAGCGGCGATGTATCCCCGCATCCTAAACTCTAAATCCTAAACCCTAACCCTAAATAAAGCAACCGAAGCCTTGCCGCTGCCTTGTGCGAGCGTGTGAGTCGAAACCCTAAACCCCCAACCTGAAACCCAAAAACTCCCCTTACCCCCCCTCCCCCCCCCCCCCCCCCCCCCCCCTCCCCCCCCTCCCCCCCCTCCCCCCCCCCCTCCCCCCCCTCCCCCCCCTCCCCCCTCCCCCGCTCTCCCCCCCCCCCCCCCCTTCCCCCCTCCCCCCCCTCCGTCCCCCCCTCCCCCCGCTGCCCCCCCCCCCCCCCTCCCCCTCCCTCGGTCTCCCCCCCCCTCCCCCCTTCCCCCCTCCCCCCCCCCCCCCCATCCCCCCCTTCCCCCGTTGATAGTAGACATAAATTATGTGTACCAAAAAAAGCACATACAAACATATAGACATACAACAATAGTTGCGCAAGAGGCCCCTACATGCCCCTGTAACCACCTTGGGCTTTTGGTGCATCGAGATAAAGTCGAGCATCGTCGCTGGCCGGCGGCTGATCTGGCTCCAGTACAGAGAGGTCTTTCCCAAGGCATCATGTCGCGAGCAGCGCCAGGGAGAGGCCGTTCCCTTGCAGCCTCCTTGGGCCTTTTGCTGGTGCTTGGATGCCCTTTGCTCTCTCCCTGGCCTCTTGCTATGGCTGGGCTGCGGCGGGTGCTTGTCACCATCTCCCCCTTTGGGAATTAGCATTTTTTCAAAAAAACTTTGTTTATATAAAAACCTAAGAGGATATTAAAAGTATTATTACTATTTATTATTTATTTTTTTTAAAGGCTCTAAGGGGAGTCTAGGTCACCGGTGGCAACAAGGGCATCGGCCAGGCCTTGTGCCGGCAGCTGGCGGCCGACCAGGGCTTCCACGTCCTGCTCGGGTCGCGTGACGCGGGCCGCGGGGAGGATGAGGGTTTAGGGTTTAGGGTTTAGGGCTTAGGGCTTAGGGCTTAGGGCTTAGGGCTTAGGGCTTAGGGCTTAGGGCTTAGGGCTTAGGAAAAAGCGTTTAGGGTTTAGGGTTTAGGGTACAAAAGAACCACGTAAAACGGAAGTGTCCTACTGCAGGGGTATAAGGGCCCCTAATTTTGCAAGGCGGATTCTGGAAAGCCACGTTGCTGGAACCCTTGTGTTTCTGTAGCTTCTTTTTGGGCCCCGAGAGGAAGCGATTCGCGCGATCTTGGACAAGAGCCCAGAATGATCCTTGCCACGACCATGGTGTAAACGCGTTACATGAGTGCTACCCTGCGTCGCTCCTTTTTGGTGCGGTTCTTGTTGGGGATGTTCCCCCTTATACTAACAGTCCTAAAAAGGGATGATAGCACCCCCCCCCTACTCCAATCCCTATGACGGACTGCTAGCATAAGGGGGAACATCCCAAGGTTCTTGTTCTAAGGGCAGCCCACGGGTTTCGGGCCCGCATGAGTCTTTTTTTTGTGGGCATTTTGGGCCCGAAAGAAGGTGCTTTTGTAAGCAGCCGTGAGAGCTTGGGGCTGACTTCTCTGAGAGTAGTTCTATGGGTCCCTAACGTGGTCCTAAACCCTAAACCCTAAACCCTAAACCCCAAACCCCAAACCCTAAACCCTAAACCCCAAACCCTAGTTTAGGGTTTAGGGTGTAGGGTTTAGGGTTTAGGGTTAAAAGGACGCGAGCTTTCAATCTTGTTCACGAGTCACGGATGTAGTCTTTCTTGAGCAGAGCCCAGCAGCCCCTGGCTGCGGCCCAATTTACCCCCCCAGCGCCGTTTTGCGGGTGCTGAGGCGCGGACCGGGTCGAGATGTTGCCGCTGGACGTCTCCGATGATGCCTCCGTCCGTGCTGCGGCCGAGGAGATCAAGCAGAGATACGGGGCGGAGTCGAGCTTGTATGGCATTGTCAATAACGCCGGGGTCGGCTTCGACCATTCCATGCAAAGGACCTTGGACGTGAACACCTATGGCGCAAAGAGAGTCTGCGACGCCTTTCTTCCGATGCTTCAGAAAGATGGGCGGATCGCGAACACGGCGTCGGCGTCTGGGCCCAACTACGTCTCGCGCAGCAGCGGCGAGGAGAGGCAGCTGCTCACAGACCCAGGCGTGACCTGGGAGGCGCTGGACAGCTTCATGCGGGAGGCGTGCGAGAACCCACGGGGGAGGCAGCCCTATGGCTTGTCTAAGGCTTGCCTCATCTCCTACACGATGCTCATGGCTCGCCTTCATCCCGACCTCAAGATCAACGCCATGACGCCGGGGTATATCCTGACGGACATCACACGGGGGATGGGGGCCACCAAGCCGCCTGAAGAAGGCACGAAGGCAGCAATCTACTGTCGCTCGCCTGCTTTACGGGCTTTAAGCCCTAAAACCTAAACCCTAAACCCTAAACCCTAAACCCTAAACCCTAAACCCTAAACCCTAAACCCTCGGCATTTTGAAGTAGTCAGCCTCGGATCGACGGCACATGGATAGAGCATGGAGAAGCAGAGTTCCTGCCCTGTTTGCAGCCCAGGTCTCACGGGCGAGCTTGAAGGAAATGGCCGCTACTATGGCTCCGATGCTCTTCGGAGCCCGATCGACCGATACCGTGCCCCAGGCGATCCCCCATATCAGGGGCCCTGAAGGCGGCAGAACTGCGAGAGGCTCTTGTGCCGGGAAGGAGGCCATGATTAATCCAGGAGGCCAGAAACCGCTTCCCCACCCCTGCCTCATGAGCAGTGAGGCTCATGATGGACAAGGGAGTGCGACAGGAACAGTCAAAGCTTCTCCACCGGTACCAAAATAATTTCCGCGGCCGCCTTCAGTTCTTACTCAATTGCCCTAAACCCTAAACCCTAAACCCTAAACCGTAAATGCTTAGATTCAGACATGCCCACGACTCCCACAGCATTGTGTAGAAGCGAGGGTTTAGGGTTAGGATTTAGGATTTTAGGGTTTGGGGTTTTAGGGTTTAGGGTTTTGCAGTTTAGGGTTTTTGGGCAAGAGACCTGAATGCAAAAGGGTTTTTGGGTTTGGGGTTTTAGGGTTTAGGGTTTTGCAGTTTAGGGTTTTAGGGTTGAGGAAGGCGCGTTTTCTGCATATGCAGGCCGCGGAGGATCTCCTGCTGGTGCTGGAAATGATCTTCTCGTGCGCCGGGTAGGCCCTGGGGATATTCAAACAGTTCCATTTGCGTTTCCCTTCTTGGTCACATTTGGGGGTTTATGAACATAAGGGACCCCTAAAATCAACCCCCAAATGGTAGGATTCCCTTATAATCGGGACCCCAATAAGGTACCCCTGAATTCGTAAACCCCCATCTCCGAATGTCGCATGTGAGGGGGGACCCTTGCCGTTGGAGACTCTCCATGTCTGTGTCAGTTGGGTTGCTCTTGGATATGCAGGTGGAGAGATACTTCGGCGGTGGCATTTGGCTCAACCGTTTAGGCTTTAGGGTGGGGCTTATTCGGGGGTTTGGGGGTTTGGGACGTAAGGCTTTAGAAACGTCAGGTTCCTTTCTTCATGCACACATATGTCTACGTATGGGATAGATCGAAATTGTTAAGGCTGATTGTCACCTGCACTCCTATATCGTGTATGTGCACACAGATACGCTCTTTCCATCCCTGTGTTTCGCTGCGCAGAGATGTCGAGCAACGAGAGCCATACAGCTGTTTCAATGAGTGGCAAAACGCGTGCTGCCGTTTCATTCACAGGTGGCAAGGACTGCACTTGGGCAATGCACCAAGTGGATTTCGATATTGTGGCGCTGGTTGTGTTTCACCCACCGAATCCAAACTTCAGAGCCCACAAGCTACAGTTCCAGCACGTTCAAGCCACTGCATTGGGCATGCCTTTGAGTATGTATACAGTAGATGCCAGCCAGACAGGAGGGGACTACAGACTCGCATACGCCACGGCACTGAAGCAGATGCAGGCTGAACACAACGTCTCTCATCTTGTGACGGGAGATATCGACTATGTCGGGACTATGACCAGCAACTTCATGACCTCGGTTTGCGAGGAGCTTGTGCCAGAACTGAAGGTGGCGCTGCCCTTGTGGCAGCAGGACAGAGAAGCTCTTCTCCTGCAAATGATCCCCCATATGGAGATAGTTATCGCCTGCGCCAAGACACCGCTGGATGCAAGTTGGGTTGGACATCGGCTCACAGAAGCCAGCATTCCTCTGTTCAAGAAGTTGGGCATTGACTTAACTGGGGAGAAGGGTGAGTACCATACAATGGTGCTGCATGCTCCTCGTTTCCGAAAGAGGCTGAGTCTGGTGAATGCTCACGTCATTGAGCTGACTGATCAGGAGGGTCAGAAAGAAGGGGAGCAGTGGTGGGTTTTTGGTGAGGGTACCACGTTGCAAGCTATAGAGCCATCACTGAATTGCAGAATACTTTGAAGGAGCGAACCATCGCGTCCATAGTCTGCTTGGCATTGTCTGAATGACCAAAGTGCATCACCGTCACTCAACTTGCTACTAGTGCAAGACGCTGGCGGTGGCAAGTGTCATATGTTTGTTCACAATGCTGGGCTTCGCTTGGTGGATACAAGTCCTGTCCAACGGAGTTTTGGAAATCTTCGGCCACGCTGCACCAAACTTTGGCCATCCGTGAGCGGCGAAAAAGGTTTGATTTTTGCCAGGCAGCACGTGAACCTACTCGATATGTTCATTCTTAAGGTATATCCCGCTGGTATTGTTAATTCACACCCGTGGATGACCATGGACAATCATCTTCGTACACCGCTGTTGCTACTATTTGCTTAAGAACCCCCCAAATAAAGAATAAAATTCCCTACAAGGCCCCTACTCTTTGCTTAAGAACCCCCCTCAATAAAGAATAAAAATCCCTATAAGGCCCTTATAAGGAGGAACATGTTATTGTTCTGGGGGTTCTTAAGCAACTAGTAGATTGTGAGATGGGGGTCAACTTACCAGGCTCTGAGAGGCACCTTATGACTTCAGAAAGGAAGCCTTACGAGTCACCCTGAGGGTTTAGGGTTTAGGGTTTAGGGTTTGCGGCACCATTGTTTGAGGTGAGTCAAAGCTTTTGGTTCTATGGCTTCGTCGTCAGAATGCAGGTGCAGGTGTTATAGCCGCAAACCCCGTAAACCCTAAACCTTAAACTAGTGCTGAGCTTCTTGTCGGCGCACCAGTTGCGAATCATGGAAAACACAGCTGCCGCTGCTGCTGCTGCTGCTGCTGCTGCTGCTGCTGCTGCTGCTGCTGCTGCTGCTGCTGGACATGATCCGTGGGGTGAGAAGGCAGTTTGGGGGCAAACCCTACTAGTGTGAAAGTTCAATGTTTTAGGGCGATTCCCGATGAGAGATTATGCCAAGATTGCTCATTGTTTTACAAGTCCAGTTCATTCTAGTAACAATGGTCAATAATAGGCAGGAGAAGCAGATAGCTACATATTTCCGGTAAAGAGTCCGGTGTCGTTCTCTGACACCAGGGGACAGCGAACGTAAGGCGCGGAAGTTTGCCTCCCTGCAACCCTAAACCCGAAACCCTAAACCCTAAACCCTAAACCCTCTTCCTCCGCGAGGCTTGGCGAGCACCTCGCTCTAGAGAGAGGTGACGAAGTCGACCGACAGCTCTGTCCCAGGTAGGCCCTTAGGGATATCGTTTTTAATTTCCCTGATTGGGTTTAAGCGGCTTCATATTTCGGCATCTTTTTTTTCCGAGGGGCCATCCCGGAGCAGCCCACGCGCGCACGCAGCGATCTCGACCTCCATCGGGAAACCGCGGGGTCGTGGTGTAAGCGCTCCATTCCAGCTTTCCAAACAAGGAAGAGACACAAGGAAGAGATGTTCCGACGTCCGAAGAAGCAAAGTCTAGCAGCTCGTTCGTCCATGTTGTGTTTCCGGGAAGAGTACCTCGGGCTTAATCGTGAGGATCTGCACAGAAGGTGCCGAATGCCATGCCTGGTCGGACTATTGGGATATGCTTGTGGCCAAAGACTGCCCGAGCGACCCTAGCCTCCATTTGGATTCTCGTGGTGCAACTGAAAAGAGTGACTCTTGGTCCATGTCACCCTAGCCCTAAACCCTAAACCGAAACCCTAAACCCTAAACCCTAAACCCTAAACCCTAAACCCTAAACCCTAAACCCTAAACCCTAAACCCTAAACCCCGAAGCTGCCTGCAGCAGTGTCTCGCACCATGCCGAGCAGATCGGGGCCAGCCCTGTCCTTGCCCAAGGTCTCAGCTCGAGCTCGGGAGCTGAAGCGCATAGACGAGGAGAACCAGCGCCTCCTCAAAAGGCTGCAGAGTGCCCGGCCCGAGACAGACCTCTACATTCAGAGTGGCTTAGGGTTTAGGGTTTAGGGTTTAGGGTTTAGGGTTGATCTACACGACAGCTTGCGGCACTTTCTGATGCTGCGACCAGTGTTGTGCGTCTAAGTCCTACTGCCCACATACGCGATTGAAGAACACTTAGTCATGCTTAGGAATCTCCCTTACGATATGTTGCGAGATGATCATCTTGTCCTCATGTTTGAGACTGTGCCTGTTGATTGGCTTGCGAGAGTATGGGAGTCCAGTCAGTAGCACTGGGAGCCTGTGCTTTTGCAGTTTCTGGCAGCACCCACGGGAGTCCGGATGCAAAAGGGTTGAGGGTTTAGGCTTGGGATGTTCACCCCTTCTACCTTCGAATGTTGAGCTGTCAGGTGCAAAGGCCGCTGTGAACATGTCCAAATTTGACCAGGAGCACAAGGCCAGGGTTCGCCAAACGAACCCGTTTGGCTCGGGATCTCTACGAAAAAATCAAGTTAGGGCTTAGGGTTAAAAACAAAGGGCTTAGGGCTTAGGGTCTAGGGTCTAGGAGCACTGCCTTGAGTGCACCTCCTGGAAAGGCCCAGCAGCGATATATGAAGATGCGCTGCGAGCATCAAAAGGCTCCGACCTGCTGAGCTCAGAAAGCCCAAAAGTACGTGGTGAGTTCTCTAAATCATGGCCCCTTTTTGGGGTACCCTAAGAGGGGCCGCCTTAGACAAAGGACCCCCAAAAAGGGACCGTAATTTAGAGAATATCCATGCGTAGTTTGCCGGACAAGTGCCAGGAAGACTGGCTGCTGGTGCTGCTGACATGTTTGGGCCATCTTTGCCAGGTTAGGGTTTAGGGTTTAGGGTTTAGGGTTTAGGGTTTAGGGTTTAGGGTGTAGGGTGTAGGGTGTAGGGTTGGCACGCCGCAAGGAGCGGGCTCACGAGCAGTCCCTGCTGGCTGCACAGATGGCCGCACCCTGGCTCGCGTTCAGGGTTTAGGGTTTAGGGTTTCGGGTTTAGGGTTTAGGGTTTAGGTTTTAGGGTTTTGGGCTCATGACATTTTACGACCGCGACCTAGGTCGGCCCGACACTTGAGATATTCTCTTGTTGGCCTTCTCTAGGCTTAGGAGGATCTCATGTAGGAGGGTTTGTCGGAGAATTTTAAGGGCCGACGCGATTCATTCCCCGAGATGTCTTGAGCTCTAAGCCCTAAACCAAAACCCTAAACCCCCTGAGCCTTCACCAGCTCACCAGCAAGGTTCGCGCAGCATCCAAAGCAGTGGCCGGACCGGCTACAGCCTCATCACCTACTGTTGGTTAGCAGGGAATGGGGGAAGAAGGTACCATATATCTGCATACATATATATATATATG